CAATGAGTCATTGCAAGGAGTCATTGCAAGGAGGCATGAGAGTCATTGCGAGCTGCGCATGGAGTCAAGTGCAAGTTGCAAGTTCAAGGAGTCAAGTGCAAGTTGCAAGTGCAAGGAGTCAGGTGCAAGTTGCAAGTGCATGGAGTCAAGTGCAAGTTGCAAGTGCAAGGAGTCAAGTGCAAGTTGCAAGTGCAAGGAGCCAAGCGCAATTGACTTGCGAGGAGTTAAATCTCTTCTTAGGGCGGCGGGGTAGTGCCGACGACACTACACGAAAATCGACCCTCTGCGGGGATCGGCGTGGTCGAGGTGCAAAAACTCATGGTTTTTTGCGATTCTTAACACGCTCGCGCGACCCTCTGCGGGGATCGGCGTGGTCGAGGTGCAAAAACTCGAGGTTTTTGCGATTTCTAAAGTTCCCGCGCGACCCTCTGCGGAAATCGGCGTGGTCGAGGTGCAAAAACCATGGTTTTTGTGCGGTTTCTGCGGTGCTCGCGCGATTTTCTGTGGGGATCGGCGTGGTCGAGATGCAAAAACCCATGGTTTTTTGCGATTTCTGCGGTGCCCGCGCAACCCTCTGCGGGGATCGGCGTGGTCGAGGTGCAGAAACCAATTTCTGCGGTGCTCGCGCAACCCTCTGCGGGAATCTGCGTGGTCGAGGTGCAAAAACTCGAGGTTTTTTGCGACTTTTGTTGTTCGAACTGGTCCTCGGGAGTTGTCTCGTGGTTCGCGCGACTGCTCCCGGAACCGGCGGGTCGCGGGTTCGATTCCTTCCTGGTCCGCGGGCAGGCGTCGCAAGATGCAACTGGCATTTTAAAGCAAGTTGCGCAGAGCAAGTTGCACAGAGCAGCTTGCGCAGACCAACTTGCACCGACCAGTTTGCGCAGAGCGTCTTGCCTAGAGCAATTTGCGCAGAGCAACTTGCACAGAGCAACTTGCGCAGAGCGCTTGCACAGAGCAACTTGCAGGGAGCGCAATTTGCACAGAGCAACTTGCAGGGAGCCACTTGCAGGGACCAACTTGCCGGAGCAACTTGCGCGGAGCAACTTGCGCAGAGCAACTTGCACAGTGCAACTTGCGTAGAGCAACTTGCGCAGACCAACTTGCACCGACCAGTTTGCGCAGAGCACCTTGCCTGGCGCTGTCTCGCGCTTGCTTCACAAATGCTTCGTGGAGGGAAAAAGAACGCATCCTGCAGCGTTGGGCCGACCTCGCTTGCGATGTTATGCTTTCGGGCCAACCGTGGTCTAGTTTTTTAATGGATAAGTCCACTATTTTCCAATTGCATATCCATTGTCAAGACCACCTCTTGGACCTCGCCATTTGGAGCCACCCAACAGCTTCTTCTGCTAGGTGAGCCGGCGCATCCCGACCATCGCCCGGCACCAGCTGCGGCCCACGCGCACGGTGCGCCGAGGTTTCAGCTACCGCCTCGGCACGGTGGTCACGGAGACGCAGAGGCCGGGGCCGGCCAACATCTTGGAGGAGCTCCGTGCCAGGGTCGCGCTGGTAGAATCCTGGTGTAGCATGGCTTTCTTTCTTGTTTTTTTTGCTGTGGGGTTTGGGTGCCGGGTTTGGTTTGGGTTTGGGGGTTCGGGTTTGGGTTTGGGTTGTGGTTTTGGTTGTTGTGCGTCTTTTTTGGGGTTGGAGGAGTTCCCTTCCAAACAGTTGGTGTCCTTAAAACCGATCAGCATGTGCAGTCTGTAAGGAATAGCCCAGCAGCTCGGGGCTCGGATCAGGGGGTGCAGGGTCAAAGGACCCCGCTTCCAGCAAGTGGCTTTGATTCGCGACTTTTGGGTGCTAAATACTGGTGATGGACTGCCAACATTCAACCATTTCTCGACTTTGCCCAGATCCCCAGATTTAGCACCCGGCTCGAGGATCAGATACGCCTTTCTTTCTCTTTTTTTTTGGGGGGGTGCGTGGCGTGGTTCCCGGTCTATTGACCGAGTCCCCGACCAACCGCCGATTTCCAGTGTCAAGATGGCCTCTTGTACAGCTGAGAGCCATGTGGACATTGGATCGAATCGATACCGGCGGTTTTCAGTTGCAATTTTGGCAGCCTGCCTCCAAAAAGTCAGGAGAGACATGCGGATCCTAATCCCCTTCCCCTGAGAGAGGTTCTGAAAAACCATTCAAGAAGGTTCTCAGAGCCTTTCCTGGGGGGTGCGGTTGGGCGGGGCAGGGGCAGGAGGGGCGCGGGGGTTGGTTCCCTTCACAAAACAAAATATGCAGTCTAACGTATGACTCCGAAGCGGGCTTTGGGAATGCTCCTTGTTTTATCCGAACTTGGCTGAGCTACATCATGAATGTGTGCCATTTGGTCAACCAAATTGGTTGGTCAGCGTGTCGCGCTGCCCTGGAAGGAGATGCTATGATATATATATATATATAGATATAGTAGGCGTCCAGCCGTTGCAGAAGCGAGCAAGGCAGGATTATCATGAAATCAATCCGCAAGGGGCTGCCGAATTGGCAACTCGGACATTGTCTTATTCGAAAAACATGTTCCCTTCTGCTTGGATAGGCCGAAGGACTCAATTGGTGGATGTCCAAGCAACACGCGGATATCAGCTGGGCCAGTGACCCTATACAATGTTGAGGCCACAAGTGAGGCTCGATTCTGTGTTGCCTCGGGCTCAATTTGTCGAAGATACGTCGCGATGCTAAGAAGTGAAGCAAGAGCCTGTCCTAGTCCTAGGAAACAAGCACATTCTCAAGAGGTAGGAGCCTGGTACCCTTGACTGAAGCAGCCTAGAGTTCTTGTCTTGCAAGCTTGTAATTATGCTATTACCTGGTATCCTGTGGGTTGAGGCCTAACCTTTACAAACAGCCTGGTAGTTCGAAACGTGAACGAGTTTCTAGCGCAAAGTTGAGCTGGCTGGCGGCTAAAGGGCTCATTTGAGGCGTTTGGTTTTGGTATATTCCGTTGAGTCATACCTTGGGCAGCGCGGCCAAACAATGGGCTGCAGATTGCACACGACAATTCCTCGGCAGCTTGGATCACCAGTAACTCAGTTCCAAAAATAGGATGCACGCCTAAGACTACTCCATTGGGTTTCTGATTGAAAACACCATTGGTAAGGGTAAGTTTGTGGAAACGTTTGTCCAAACCTCACCCTTTCCGCGCACGCATGAGCGTCTAAAACCCCCCAAGACCGCAACCGGAGGAATTTCCGGTTCAGTTGCCCCATGTTGGGTTTCAGTAATAATTTGTATTTGAGTTGAATATGGGCATGGTGTTTAGGACTGGCAGGCTTGGGTGCACATGTTTTCACGGAAGCCGCGCATGCAACCGCTCACTTCAAGGCAACGCAAAGGCCCGCGGGGTTCTCAACTGGCTGGAAATGTCTTTGTTGGGCAGACCCTTGACGGCTGCGTTTGCAGGGCTCATTGCTCGCCAATACTACGAGAGCACTGACTCTTTAACGCCAGCCCTGCAGGGGTGCATTGAGTACTTATTGCTGGCTTTAAACACAGTGCCAGCCCGCAGCGTTCCCTTGTTCCCCCGGCATGAGGCCCCGCTGCTGATTTACACAGATGCATCCACTGAAGCACCTAATGACACGGGTTGTCGCATAGGGTTCTGGATTATGGACCGTGGGTTGGTGCATGTCTCCAGTGTTGATGTACCTACGTCGGCCTTGTCACAATGGCTCGCACGGAAGACATACATCAATTTGCTGGAACTTTTGGCAGCTCCCATCCTTGCCACGTGTGCGCCGCAGCTGTTGCGCGGCAGAGACGTCCTATGGTTTATTGATAACCAAGCCGCTCTGGCAGCGCTCGTGAGATCTGCGTCTTCGGCACAGGACATAAGCCAACTTGCCCTGTTCACGGGTGTGGCGTTCACCCGCCTCAGGTGCAATCCGTGGTACGAATGGATCCCTTCACGTCAAAACCCAAGCGACCCGTTGTCTAGGTCCGGGCTTCAAGATCCCCATGTCCGGGAACAACTAGCTAGTGGCAACTGGAAACATTTGGTTCTCCAGCCCCAGTGGTTTTCCCTGGCCCCAGATCTTGTTGCAGTTTCGCGGTTAATCTCAGCGTTGGGGTGATAATCCTAAACACGGCGTTGGGGTGTTTGTGCGCAGTCAACACCATGGCAGTGTTTTTGGCTGAAGGCCTTACACTGCTTGTGATTTGCCAACGCTGACATTCAATCCGCAGTCACAGACTGAAGTTAGAGAGAGGCAGCCTAGAAAGGGTGCTCGCAGCTTACCGTGATGGGCATGGTGTTTAGGACTGGCAGGCTTGGGTGCACATGTTTTCACGGAAGCCGCGCATGCAACCGCTCACTTCAAGGCAACGCCTCTTTGATTCCCTCCCACCCGCCCATGAGTCAAGGCCACTGCCGGCTTTGGGCCCCAGGAGTCGCACGATGGCTTGGGCTGAATGTGTCCAGCCAAGATTGATGCTGGCAGGGTTGGCTGAAGGCCTTCCCTGCGGGTGTTTGTGTGCAAACCACACCGTGCCAGTGTTTTGGCTGAAGGCCTTGCACTGGGGGTGTTTGTGCGCAGTCAACACCATGGCAGTGTTTTTGGCTGAAGGCCTTACACTGCTTGTGATTTGCCAACGCTGACATTCAATCCGCAGTCACAGACTGAAGTTAGAGAGAGGCAGCCTAGAAAGGGTGCTCGCAGCTTACCGTGATAATATGTCCAGCCTACTTGCAAGCAACCCGTCTTATGAAACATGGGTGTTTCAGACAACAAGACCTCCAAAACCTGCAGGCGAGGGGATTCTTAGGTGAGTTTCTCTAAATGGTGGACCTGTTGGTTGGAGTTCAAAGGGAGACTACCCTTCCTCCAACAAGCATGGCACCTGTGGGAGGGTACTCGGAAGAGCAGTTTCCTTTCAAAGGAACCCCCTGTGAGGTGCTATGTTAGTTGGAGGGAGGGTAACAGGAAGCCAATCAAGGGGATCCCTATTGTGAGAAACACCCAGATGCGTCTCCTTCGAAACGAAGCCGCAAGGCCATCGGCCCAGAACTCGCTCGCTAGGGCCAGCATCCAGATCTCGCCTTCACACCGCTGGACGTGAACCACGCGGACTTGGGGGGGCCGACGCCTTATGAAGCCCAAAGTGCGGCTTCGCAAGCGCTAGGTGGCCGTTTCAAACAAAGGCCATTTGGGTGTGTCTTTTCTTGAAGGTACCCGTTTTTGGTGGTTTTACAGGGAAACCAAGGGAAAATTACCATCCTATTTTTTCTTTGGGGGGGAGGGCCCTAAAGAAGACACCGCCATTTCTTGGATGCTGGCATCGGGCCCCCATGGAGCCATCCCTTATGTGGCTTTGTTGCATGTGTATCCCATCCAGAAAAAAATATTGGCGCGGGAACATACCTCTCAATGGTTGGTTTGCCTTTAGTCGTGCTTGAAAACCACCCCAAGAAAGGTGCTTCAACGAAAAGGGGCACCCGGGTTACAATGTCAGAGGTTCTTATATTGCCCCTGCTGCATCATCGTGGCCGTTCACAAGGGGTTCCCATGAATTGGTGTACTGTTCGATGCGAAATGCAATGATGCCTGTATGATCGTTTGGGCATGTCTCAAAATTGGCGCACCCCCAAAACAGGATTCCATTTCCCTGTGGATTCCATTTAAACCAACCCAAAGAGGATCCTGAACAAAAGAGACACCAGTGTCCTGCCTTTTTTTTAAACATCGCCTCTGGGGGCCAGTGACAAAGAGAGCATCCTTGACGTGGGGCAGAGTAGAGACACCTGGAATGGGCACAACTGTTAGAAACAGCAAGCCGATATGTGCGGGTTTGACCTGCCAGTCTTGCTCATCTCCCAATCTAGGTCATGTGTGTGTGTGTGTGTGCGCGTGTGTTGGCAAGTACGGCAGCCACGGCAGAACTCTGCTTATGTTTGAGCAGTTCTAAGGAGCAGACTCGTGAATACATATGCCACACACTTGGAGGAAGTGGCTGCAGTTGGAGCCACCTCATACCCGCCATGATTTTTCATGGTTGAAACCCCGAAACGAAAAAGAACGGCGGCTGGTGCACAGAAAACTCGCAACCAAAAGAATGTCCACCGAAGGCTCCTCCATAAATGCCAAGCTAAATGTCCACCAATCCAGTTTCTATATCCAACTCTCAAACTGCGCTGCTGAGGGTCAACGCGCTCTGCGTGGCTGCCAGGGAAGGGTGGTCCCGGCCTGGTTCATCGAGAGTCGGCCCCTTTGGGTTTGGGTGAAAAAAACACACACACCAGAATTGGTTTGGATGAAACCCTGACAACGATACGGAAATTCAGCCAAGAGCCCCTTTTTTCGTGGTTTTTTGGGGGGTTCGAATCCAAAGGACCAGTGTCGCTGTGATTGAAATGGATGCCATTTGTGGTGCACCCGTACCATGGCTTGCTGTGGATCAGGGATAAACTTGCGAGCTTTATGCTTTGGGTTTGAGACCACGTCGTGAATCTGTGGGAGGGACCTGTCACTATTTGGGCATTGCTGATTTATATCGCACAGTGGAGTGACCTCGCGCACCCCCTTTGTGGCATTTTGCTCCATAGATGTGCCAGGACGAGAACACCTGGCTGCTTAGGTTCTCGGCTTCCTCCGCCCCCTCAAGTATTGAAGTGTTGAGACAACCATGGTAAGGGTTCCTGTGCAGGGATTCACGTCCACGACCCGCATGCAAATCGCGTGGATTGAGAGAACAGGTTACTTTGGCCGCCAGGGTCAGGCGAGTTGAAGAACTGAGATCGCCTTGATGTTTGCAGCCCAGCCCGATCGGATCTTCGCACACCCGCAAACTCTTTTTTTGAAGATGGGCTACCAATGTTGGGCAGAACACATGTTTAGTTGATTTGTTCCCAAGAAGAATGTTATTCGCTTACCAGGTATGAGGCGCACACAATTCTGCACAAATCTGAAGGCTGTGCGACTAAGCTTTGCGACAAACCTGGACTTTTGTGTTGCTTTGTTCGAGTGCAGAAAGGGGTTTGGCGATCAGTCAGAGGGCAGAGACGTGCCCCCCATGCCGCACAGAATCGCGCAACTGTTCTCTCCCCTAGCTGCAATGACCGCTCAAGATGCTGTTGCCGGGGCGATGGGCATGTCTATGCGCATCTTGTCATAGCGTGCCAGCCAAATCAACCCCCCCATGTCTTTTGAGCCAAGAGCCCCCCCCCCCCCCCCGTTTGCCCCGCGTTTGGGGCCGAAGAACCCAAATTCACAGGCACTGGCAGCTGTTGCCCTCACTGGTACTGTCCGGCTCCAACACTGCTGCAAAGGCGCGAAGCCAAGCGACAGCTCGCTGCGGTTGGTCTGGGGTCCTCAACGGATACACCCACCGAACCACATGGTTTATAAGAGGATCCTCAAAATCAGCTGGCAAAAAGGATTTGTGAACTGGCCCAAATGTATCCTTTAAGCGAGTCGTTGATGGCAAGTTTGTCTTCAAGCATTGGTTGGAGAGGGTCGCTCACATGTGGCTCCTTTTGCCTGTCCAACTGCGAAGGCTCGGATGTTATTCGCCAAAGGCAAGGCCAATTGTGGGACAGAGTCAACCAATGAGTTTACTAGCTGGGGATGCTTCTGTCGTGTTTTTATTATCCGGTCTCCCTAATCATAAAACGCACCCCCCCAATCTTTAAAGAACATCCCATGAAGAAAAGCAATAACAAGCTGTTGTTAGGGCTGTTGTGTTTGGAAGTACCCCCCCCTTTTAAAGGTCCCGAAACCGTTCACAAACGGTTGGTTCAGCAGGGCATGTAAATGTAAATTGTTCTTTCCAACATAGTGCTTGCTGACAGGGTCCCCTAACGCGACTGGAGGAGAGGTCGGCGGGCAAAGTCGCTAGTCTAGTACTCGTTTAGAATTGCCCTATTCTTTTTTAGAATTGGGCCCGCTGGGAGTTTGAAAGCATGCTTGATTGATTATCAGGGGATATTGATTCTTAGAGGGAAGATATTATGTCTCTCGATGCAATGAGGTCTGAAAAGTAGTCAACTTCTGTATGCGTGTGTGTCTCTCTCTCTCTCTCTCGCTCAATTTGCTGGTTGTGAGGGACGATTGCCCAGAGCTCGATGGACTGTGATTGAGGATAACCAACCACTTCTTGTTTGGCACAGAATTCCATGCAGGCCAGCGGGTGTTGGATGAAACTATTCGTGGTGGCACTTGGATTGTGGTACCTGTGCCTTGCTGGCACGTCCGCAGAAAATGGCCATGCATTGAATCAGGGACCATGACCATCGCCTGTTGGAATTCCAACTTCGCCGGATTCCGTGGAGGGACGCACGTCTTCAGGTGCTCGCATTGCCTTTTGCCAGTTGATCCTGGTAAGGTGCTATGCAATATCAAACCGGCTTTGCGGTGCGTAAGCTATCATAAAGTTTGTAGAAGCCATCAAAACCATCCCAACATATGTTCAGTTGGTGAACCTTGGATTGGACAAAGGGCTTTCAGCTTGTGGCAACCATCAACACCTTTATTTGCTTAAGAGTATTTTGTATTTTCCCTTGCTTTAAAAGGAATTCCTCATACTGGTTTTCTTTCCTGGGGCCTGAACCAAATGGAAGAAGATGAGGCTGGGAGGAAGCTTTGGTTTTGCCCTTGCCAGCTTGCAGAGTGTCCACTTGGCTCGTGCCAGGATCGTGACGGCTTCACGGCGGTGCACTGGGCAGCCATGGAGGACGAAGCTTTGACCATGCCAGGGGGCCCAAATTGCCAAAGCACAGCGCTTTGCGCAAAGAAAGCAACGCGCAGAGCGGGTCTGATCCAAACTGCTTCTTGGCTTGCTCTGCGAGTGGTCTGAATAGCATCTACAGCAATCAGATTGCGTCCACCGAAATTCACCTTTGCGGAGATTTTTTTTTTTTTAACAAAAAGTGGGGACCAGCACCCCAAGGTTTGCGGAGAGCAATCCCCTAAGGCAGGAAACCTTCCGCCCTTCCACCCCCGGCCGCTTTCTGCGGCCTGGCACTCAGGAAGGCCTTGCTGGACTTGGGCCTCGATGCGAATGCCAAGGACTTCAAGGCGCCTTCGCAGCGGGGGATGCGGAGCCTATTCTGCTTGATGGGTTTCACACTTTTCTAGGGCTACCTTCCATTTCCATTTTTTCCAGGGGGCATCCCAGGGAAAACGGCTGGTTGTTGTTGGGAAACTGGGAAACATGTTACATTCTTGCTTATTGTGGTTTAGTGGTTGAAATCCAACCACCTAACTGCTGAATTTTAAATTGTTGCTCCCTTTCCACCGTCAACCAAGCCTTCTGCTTGATAGGTTCCCCACTTTGAGTTGGTCAACCAATCAACCAAATCCAAAGAAGTCTCACCTCATAGCTGGGTCTGAGGGCTAAAAGGGAAGCCGCGGGGACATGTTTGCGAGCCAACGGAAGCCGAAGCCATGTGGCAAAGCCATGTCCTCTGGCAAGTTGAGATTCAGATGGATGCTGGCTTGGCTTGTTGCCTCGCTTTGTTACGGCCTTTTGGTATGCTCATGGTTCGATGTTTCAAGGATGGCCTTGTTGGTTGTGTGTACAGTGCTTGGTCGGTTGCTTTCTCCTCCAAGTTGGCGGCTGAACTTGCATGTAACTCCTTCAAGGGGGGCCTTTTCTGGGCTTGCACATCAAGTCTCTCTAGTTTGACAAATCGGTATGGGTCAAAATTATTCCAGGAAATTCCACCGCAGGTGTTAGTGCATGTTTCCATTTACCAGGGTTCGATGCTGGGTACCTATCTTTGGCCCACAGCCAAATCGTGTTTGTTTCTGTTCACAAGGTCGATTTGCTGGTTCTACTGACCTGCACGCGCTGGGTCCCGAGGTATCCCGGCCAAATGCAGTAGCAGATTCTTTGGGCTGACGCCCAGACGTGTGTTTCTAATGCTGAAACTGTTTCTTTCTTCTTCTTTTTTTTCGGGAAACCAAACGCAAGCAGCCCATATTTTGACAATTTGAGGGTTCCCACTCGTTCCTCCCTCAGCTGATCTGGGCTCAGGACGACTCCCATGATATGGCTGTGTCTTTTTTGAGGACTTTCAGAAATGTTTTTTCTCCTTCTGTTGTCCTTTTAAAAGGGGCACCCTCAGAAAACTCACTTGTCCAACGCGATCCTTTTGACCTTTTGGTTTTCCTATGTTGGTCTATGTTTAGCCATGGCACCAAAAGGTGAACCCTATTTCCAGGTCCTTTGGGCAAGCGTCAGAAAAGACCACTCTGTTTGGCTACCCCCAATTGGCTCGGGGATATGAACTTTCGGCTCACCCAGCCACTTCCCCACGTGCGGAAAAGAGTGCCGAAAAATCATTCGCCAGGGATGGACTCCCTTGATGCACGCCTGCGCCCGCGGAGCGGATGTCCGCCCGCCAAGGTTGTTTTTTCATCGCCTAGATGGGTGGCTCGTCTGGCTTTTTGAGGGTACCCCTTTTGGCGATAAAGGAACCATGAGAAGAACAAACAGAAAACAGGTGGCCCCCCTAAAATCAGAAAGATGTCGGACACACCCGTAAGCGTGCGGTTTGAGGATGTCCTGAAATTAGGGACAGGATCAATGAAAGCCACAAGGGAATCAGCCATCTTAGGAAATACCCAGTGTTTTACATTTCAGGCAGGCCGAGGATGTATGCGAACCTCGTTGCCTTTTCTCAGAGTTTCCAACGTGGGAGTCATTGGTGACGTATATCTGTAAATCAACCTTACCTCTTAAAGACACAACTTTTCAACTTTTTGGGTAACATGGGCTATATGTCCGTAAAAGATTAACTTCCCCAGGGCTTGGAGTTTTAAGGGGTAAGCAACTGGCGCTTCCATCCTTTTCCGATACCGCCGGAGGGGATTTTCAAGCCAAGTCCTCCAGGATCAGATTCGATTGGCGAGCGAGCCTGCAGGTCGAAGACTTCTTCAGTTTCTGGGCTTGATATTATCATGTTTCAAACTCATAACCCCCTTTTTATCTTGAATCCCAGCCATCCGGTTCCTTAGCTTTTTGGCCTTTTAGTGTTTAGTGGGGATTTCCATTTAACCCCCTAAAAGTCAAACTTTTATCTGAGGACAGCCCAGTTATGAATCTGGGGGGTGTCCTTGTCGTTTGTATTGAGGGTTCCTGAGGGCCCCTCGCTGGTGAATAACTGTGGGGAACAACTCAACCCCGATTTATGACGCGGGTGTCCCTGGTTTTGCTGGCAGTTCATCACTTTAGGCAAACACCGCCCAAAATAAGCACGCGTTTGCGAATCTGGGATCAGCATTAGTGGAAAACAACGGACTGTTTGGCGCGAGAGTTGAAGAAGGGAGTAGTCACAGTCAGAGTTCCATGTTTGTTTAGCCCTTTGCGGGAATCAACCAACCCTGGGTTGAAGTCTGCGGGCCATGGGAAAGGTAACCCCCCCCACACAAAAGAAAGCTACTGGGAGTTGAGATCCCGGGTTCGTTCCTCCAGATGGAGTGCCAGGAAGTGGTCCGCGTGCTTGTTGACTTCTCTGCAGAGATCGATGCCCGCAATTGGGTCTTGCCGGCGGGTTGTTGGCGGACGTTGTGCACTTGTGAGTCCAGCCTTTTATGTTGCTTCGACGTTTTTCGCATATGGCAAGGCAAAACCCGATCTATGACTGCAAGAATGATTGAAAACTGACAAAACATGTGTGAGCCCAGCTGAGGTCAGTAGCAGAAGCGCCCTGCATGACGGGTGGCAAGCACAAGGAAGGGCAAAGAGCCAACGAAGGCTAGGTTTGTGCGCCTGAACAGCTTTATTCCTGAAGCACGGCCACTTTGCACGCTGTCCCTGCTCTGTTTGTGCATGCGCGCGCATCATACGCAACTGCTGTCTTTCTTTGCGTGTGTGTGTGTGTGTGTGTGAGTGTGTTGCGGCTGTGGGTGTTTATGTGTGAGTGTGGGCCTGGGTGTGGGTGCGTGTCTCATTTGACCCGTCCCATGTCTGTGTGTGTGTGTGCCGACACATGATATTATTCACGTACAAATGCATTTAAGCGTACTATACATATATATATATAATATATATATATACACACACATCTAGACTATGATATATATATATATATATATACGTGCATGTTCATATCGCCCCCCCGCCCCCACCCATGGATCTGCCGTGTTGCAGTGTTGCCTCACCATCTCCACCCCATTCTTCATTGGGTAGCAGTAACCATGGGCACTCAGTCTCAACGTACAGCAACTATCGCCAGGTCCTTGGAGAAACTCAGAAAACACTTGCATTGAAAACCACCCCGAAAGGGCACCCCTAAACACAAGTCCTACCCAGCACCGACCGACCAACGCATCGCGTGGCCACTCTGCTGCCGGGAATCGTGGCAGGACGGCGACACGGCGCTGCAGATCACACAGCGGCGGCGAGATCCGCCAGACGTGGTGGCTGTGACGAAGGACGGGTCCTGGATGTTGGTCACTTTTTGGGAAGACCGTTTCAGTGGCAAACAGCAAGTGCGGACTTGCTTGGTCCACTCAGGAAGTCTGTGTTTGACGTTTGCAAGTCTAGATCTATGGCACAGCTTAACCGGGTGAGACGAAAGCGAACCTACCATTTGCAGGAGCTTCGTCAATGTCAGTCAACATTTCCCGTGTGTCTCCCACATTGCTCAAGTAGAGCCAGCATTTCTGACTACTTGGGTTTGTTTTAACATGGCCGTATGTTGTCAATGGCATTTGCAAGCAACCATGTTTTAGGCTTTTTACTTGCACGATCCCTTAAAGGTTAGCTTTTGGGCCATGTTACAACTCACCTTCACAAACTGATTTGGAGAGTCTCCTTATAAGACTGATGTTTTTGAATGTTTGCTTGTATCAAGCACCAGCCGTAGTTGTCCAGGCCCGTGCTGACGAGGACATTGCCTATGGACTGTCAGCAAGATGTGGGAGATTGTTTAGGTGTATCCTGGCAGGAACCCTGTTCAAGGATAATTCCATGAGTGCCTGTTTTGAGGGTACTCTTTGCAGCTTGGTTTAAAGGGACACCACAAGAACTTGCTGGTGCTCTAGGGAAGGGAATGAACCTGGGGGTTCCTTGAAAGAAAACCACCAGTTGCATGGGTCATGTCTCATTCCGTGCCGATTTCGCTGCAAGAGAAACCCCTGCTTCCGCCCATCCATCCGCGCCCACGTCCAAAAGCCTCGTCTCTTCGATGTCCGTGAGGACATCCTGCTGGATGGCATCATGACGAGCGCTGAGCCCGCCGGGTCCCAATCCAACCGCTTCGCGAGGTGTCGACGCCTTGCTAGGGGTTGGTTAAAAGGAACGTCAACAGGGACTCCATCAATTTTGGGTCCCCCAATTTTGACAACAGGAGGTAAATTCGGTGCACTACCCCCCTTGTCTATCTTGGAATAGTCAAACCATGGAACCATGCTCGCTTGCGATTTGGTGTGAGGAATTCCAGCTTGTCGGGGGTCTTTGCGCCCAACATGTCAATTCATTAATGACCCGTTCACTACTCACCCAGAAGCTCCCGAAAAAACCCTGTTAAAAGCCTCCAGAGCAGACATGACATCATGTTTGTCCTCTTTCGATTGGACGGTGGGCAACTTCAACCCACCGTTCGGCTGTGCGGCTGTGCGGCTTTTTGAGTTGGGCCTGGGTACACAAGCAGAGCGGTATCAAAAGCCTGACGTGGCTGGCTTGTTCGAAGGGCTGGCACGTCTGAGGTGCGGCACACGGCTTCCCTGATAGACAGCTCCGGCTGATTGGTGCAGTTAAACAGGAGGTTGCCACAAAGGGGTTCGGGGTTTGGAGCATTCCAAGTTTTAGGATTGGCAGCCTTTCCAAACGGAATTCCAAACCGGGCTGTGGTTTCACCCTGAACTTTGTGACTTTAATCCTTCCGCATTTCAGGCCAAGGGCTCGGTGAAGGCTCATGGGCACATGATGGTCTCTGTCCTGGAGGCGCGACTGCCGGGTGGCACTTGAGTCATGTGGGTTCACCTGTCGGACTGATGAACCCATGGAAATGGTTGCGCGCACACACACACAGGCGCAACTGACAGAGCTACTGGTAGTTTTTTGTTCGTGTAGAGCGTAGTTACGTGCCGGGGGACAATCCAAAGTCCCACAACATTCAAGGAACTTCCGCCATGCCCTCTTGGAGGCGGGAAATGAGCAAGCGGACTACGAGATTGGACATGATTGACTCCTCCACGTTCCACCCTTGCAAACTGTTTGGGGAGGATACCTGCAAACGCGCGCTCAAGGGTGTCGACGACATTTGCGCTTTGATGGTTTAGGGACTTGGAAGGGACAGTCCGGGACATTTGAAGAACGACATGTTGAACTCTACTGCTATTGGGTTGGATCTTTAGACTTTAACTTTTTGGGAACTCAAGGGGTTTTCCATTAAACCCACCAAAAGTTAAACTTTTTTTGCGGAGGGGTCAACAGCAACCAAGTTGAAAAGAACTAGCTATGGCTTGCACCCAGCAGTGACGAATTGGCGACACGACATTTGGTAGTTGTGGCAGGGCGAGAGCTGACGCCTGAATGACCCCTCAGCTTCAGGTCCCTGCACGCTCAAACACGTCGACGTAGACCCATGTTGATTAGGTTTGCTATAGTGTTGGTAGTATTGAAGTGCGAGTAACGGCCCCGCAGGCGACTGATCTATACCTGGAGGGCAAAACTGGCTTTGCCGCTGGCTCAGTGATTTCCTACACCTCCGGTCCCGACCTGGATTCAATCAAAAAGCACACACCCGCTCCTCCAAAATCCAGCTTGTAGGCTTCGTAAGAAGTCGTGAGGGCAAGACTACTTTGAAGGGTCAAAATGAGATCAGCTCTGATTTTTCAGGGATTTCGGAGACAGGCAGCTTGGAGTTCAGGTCCCAGTTGCAGACGACTTAGGTCCTTAGAGCAAAGGCAACTTCAGAGAATTGTTACCAGCTGGGAAGTGTTCGACACAACTGTCAGGCCCCGGTTTTGGTACCGACAGGCTGGGTTCCAACCATTGTTGGGTCCGTTTTTGGCCACATGCTGTCCAAACATGCTCTTTGAAGGGATTTGATTTGTCATTGTCACGCGTTGATGAGCCCGTATACTCTGACGCTGCTTTCGCAATCATGGGAGATGCCGTGCGCTTTTTGAAGGTCATAGGTGTCCCTTTGGTCACTTCGTTTGGTTGAACATGGCACTAGGTTTCAGTCCTTTTGTGGGTGAGTTTGGTTAGATCTAGATGGGTTCCACTGGTTTAGATTGTTTGGGGCCGTCTTGTCCAGGTCGCCTATGATTTCAGCTTGTTTACAGCAGCCTCATGGCCAAAGGTGAATGCCTACGTGAACCTTCAGCTTCGAACCCAAAACGGCGCACGACCCCAGGCGGGGATCGGTTTTCAATGGATCAGTGCACTCACAGGGCAGTTTGCGAGTCAAACGATTTGGGTATGTGTCAAAATGTGGGCACCCCGCTTCCCTGCAGCCTGCCTGAAAAGGGCACCTTCAAGCACAGACCCAATTTGTTGGGGATACGTGTTACAAGGAATCTCACACGAAGCATGCCCATCCCCACTTCAGGGAGGAGTATGCGCCAATGTGGGCTTGGCGGCGTTGCTTTTGTTGCAGCAAGTAGCAGCCAGCCATCGGCGAACCATTTCTTGTGAGACACTGCTACACGGTCAATCACGGGCAGTTTGTCGACTCCCAAATTGAACCGCTGTCAGGGGGCGCACAACTATATTTGTTTATGGGCCAAATTAAGCCGCCCATGCCTCAAGTATGGCGGGGACACCGCTTAGGACGACCAACTCGTGAGATTCACTGAGAAAGTGTGCCCTTTGTTTGTCAACATACGTGTGCTGTACACCATAGTTCGGAGCCACGAGGGGTACGTGACAACAGCCTTTGAAGAGGGCGGCACGAAGGTAAAACTACAACCTTGGGCAATGCTACATTTGCAGTGACAAAAGGCTCTTCGCGCTTCACACAGAGAACTGACATGAACAGACCTGTACAATGGTTGCTTCAGGACTTTACCGTGTTAGCTGAATGCTTTGCAATGTTTTTGTGAAAGCAACTCCACGCATGGATGGATCGTTTCTTCTTTGTTACAAGACTCCCTATTTGGCAGCCGGCGGTCCGCATATCTGGGGGCCTCATGCGTTGTTGGCAGCACCAATGTGGGCATTCATGGCTTGGCAAGAGGCTGAACAAAAACATGTCTACATAGAACATGGCTGCATACCATCATCTCCAGCACAACGATGTTTGGGAGTCTATCAGAGACCGCGACTGATGCATGGCTGTTTGCGGCTTGGTTCGACACCAACTCAAACAACGGATTCATGGTCGGTGACACGGAACATGGCTCATCCAATAGGGAACGTCCGAAATGGGTGTGGCTAACAATTTAAGAGCTAGGGCTACGCAGGTTTTAGTCTTTGGTTCCATTTACCAAGGTGCCATTCTAGTACATGCTTTTGAGCCACGGCCAACTGAGTCCTAAACCAGTCCTTCGGTGAAATCTCCGCAGTCCTTGAAACATCGCATTTTGTGAGAAGGATCAACTACCCTCCAAGCAGCCCAAAGGGAGAAAGAAATGGAAGACGTGGTCATCCATGCACATCGGCTTGGGCGAGCTTCCGGCTGTTTGGGATCACGGTTCTTCCTTGAACTTGGCTGTTCCCAGCCATCCGGTTCCTTAGCTTTTCAGCTTCTTAGGGTTTAGTGGTTGGGTTTCCCCATTGAAACCACTAAAAGTTGCTGTTTTTGTTTCTTTTTGTTAAGGTTTCGCTGAAGGCTGAAGGATCGAAAAACGGGCAGCCCAGTTTCCACCCGGACTCACAAGGCTTCGCGAAGCGTCAGGCGGCCTTTACCTCCTGCGTGCTGCAGAACTCATCTCCCGAGTGGCCGCTGAGCCGAAGGGGAGAAAACCGACCACCGCTTTCTCAATCCCCTTGGCTGGGGTGGAAAAACCCCTCCAAAAGCCGAACCAACATTATTTTTAGGGTGACACTTTTTAGCCGAACCAACACTTATTTTGTTGTTTTTCCTTTTCGAAAGGGTGCCCTTTAGACCCTTTTTTTCCCCTAGGCGCTGGAGTCTGAAGTTGGGGTCTAAATCCCCACACTCCAAAGTGGGTGTGTCTTTCTTTGTAGTTAGAGAACTCCTGTTTTGGGTGGGTTTCAAGGAAAACAACATGACAACCACCCATTTTTAGGGTCCCCTATTTTTGAGACGGACCCAAGTGTTGGCTAGGGCTGGTAGGCAAACTTTACTCGAATGTCGCATCCTTTGAAGGTTTCTTTTTTGCAATCCAGATGCTGGGATTGATTTCATCCCAGCTTTGTCCAGCCCAGAATGATCCAAGGAAGGCGCATACCGTATCCCCAGTAAAAGGAGCCTTCCCCATACATCATTTGCCTCACGTTTCCACCAAGGTCAAAAGACAGATTCTAGGCCTGGGTGGATGGCCCTTGTCTCTTGGTTGACGGCTTGGAATTTGGAGACCTGGGCCCCGGTTCTTGATTCCACGGTTGCAACTGCAACTGCCGGCCTTGATTTCTCTTTAGGCATCCCGTGGAACCCAACCTTCGTGGTTGGCTTCGAACGAAACTCAAATGAATCCAACCACTTCTGAGGTTCCCGCATTTTAGGACACACCCCATCTGTAGCTTTTTCTTTGCGCACCCCTTCCAAGCGTCCGGCTACTGACAGCCCGATGTTGAGACAGTACAAACATCCCCCGTGTGTGTTTTTGTATGTTCAGGGTCCTGCAAGATGGAAGGTGCTGCGGGCCTATGATTTGGTGACAAGCTTGCGGCTCACCTTGCAGCCCGGATATTCCCATTCTCCTTCCCAGGCCCAGACTTGTACGTACAACTTCGCGGGGCAGACTATACGTGGCCATGTTGAGCTTCTCTGAAAATAAGGCCACTCGCAACATGGGGGGGTTCCATTTCATTTAAATAAATGAAGCCCCCCAAAAAGGGCTACACCCGTAGAACCTTACATTTGTTGAAGACTATTTGTTATTTTCTCCTGTTGGCTTTGAAAGAAATCGATCACTACTGGACATATAATGTTTTTTTTTCTAGGGGGCTTAAGCAAATGGACAAAAAAGAACACGGCCCATGGCATCGATTCCTGGGCCAAGCGTCGAAGGCACGAGGTCTTCCGCTTCGACACCCTGCGCTTGGATCCCACCGCGGTCTTGGTGGCCTGGGTGGTCCGAACCCTGGGATCGGCCCAGTGGATGGACCAAATCCGTTTCGCACCACGCAATGAAACCATGGTTGAAGCCAGAACTTGTTGGTATTTGCGGGGGAATCAAACCATGGGAAACCAGAATTTGTTGGTATTTACAGGGTGAATCCAATCATTCCAGGGTTTCTTAAGTGGTGCGAAATGGATTTCATCCATCCACAGTAGGCTTGGCTCGGTTCTGGTGTCCAGTAACGCAGGTTCTCCGCTGTTCTCCGTTTGCGGCACCCTGATTTGTTTTTTTGCTTGGTAAAGATTTCGAGGAGCTCTCCAAATCGCTTGGGGCCTGGTTGTCCTTTTAACAAACACGAGGAAGGCGTCACTTTCGCGGACCTTGCCATCGAAAAAGCGCATTTCCCAGAGGATGGAAACGGCCCTGGCCTGCAGCTGATGCAAACATGGCCTGAGTTGATTTGCCAATTCGCTGAGTGCAACGGCTCCGATCCCTCCGGGTGTTTTGTTTGGAATACTTTGTGAAACCGTGTGAAAACAAAAAAACAACGGCAGTTATACAAGGGGCATCCTACAACCCGTGACAAAGGTGTGTTCGTGTGGTTGTTCGCAGTGGCCTGCCACGACTCACGACTTAAAAAAGGCGAGTTTCTTGCCCGCAAGGTCCTGGTTTTCCGGAAAGCTTTTCTCAGCTGTGTGGCCCGGCTACAGTTCATGCCTTCAATTGCCACGATCTTTGGACCTCGTGCCACCCGACGCAGGTCGCGGCTCCCGGGGAGAACGTGAAGGAGGTCATGGACGGAGCCGCCCTGGGACTGGATGAGGACCTCAGCGGTTCCCCGGCGGTCCTTTTGCCTTTGAGTCCCGAGTTCCGTTCAGCGGAGAAAAAACAAAACTCGAAGGCAGAGCCTCCAGATGTCCCAAGACTATGTTCAATTTGGTTCAAGCGTAGCTAGGAACCCGGGTAAAAAAGGTCAAAATACACCTTTTGGCAACGGCCGGTCAGTTGTGTCCCGTGATTTTCCCAAATGGGGCAGCAGCAACCGCCGAGAAAGACGGCTGGCGTGTGTCCGCTGCAGAGTGAAGCCATGGCTGCTCTCATGTCTTGTATTTTTTGCTTGCTTGGTTATGCTTGGAGGATTGCTGTTTGTTTATTAGGGGCTGGGGAGCTACTTCAGGCCCAGTGAGTGATCATGATTGCCCCATAGCTGTAGCGCGGCTTTCTATATTCCCGCTGTTGTGTGTGTTTTACCATTACCATGTCAGCTGATGTTTCGCCTAACCAAGTTTCTTTTAATGTCAACCCAGCATTGATTAGTCCGAGTTGATGAGCAAAGCTTATTTGCGTTCCAAAGGGATCCTTCACTTTGGGCGAACCATAATGAAACATACCCCCCCCAGCTTCTTGTCAGAGCCCTCGATTCATGTTTTGGGTGCTATGATCTATTTTGAAAACTTGGGCACTTAGACCCTCAGGGTTGCCCTCCCCAGCAAATCCCTCCTCAGTCCGGCCAAATCGAGCCGCAGCAACTGCCGAATGCGAATGACACTCACACGGCGGGGGGACCGACGCTGGGCAAATCGAGCCGCAGCGACACGCGAATGACTCTCACGCAGGGGGGACCGACACTAGCATAAGTGACCTTTTCAAGGGGCAGGTGACCTCGATTCGCATCCTCACTGAGACTCAAATGACACGCTTTGACACTCAAAACGCCATGTTCGGAGTTTCCGGGTCGGCCCCAATCAAATGTGGCAGTTGTCACATTTCGACACGGGCAGCCGTTCGATTTCAACAGAATCCCAACCCCTATCAAGATAAAAAGGGCACTTAGCAAACGAATCAAAGGGTCACTTTGGCCACCGACACGGCCGTAAGTGCCCTTGATTCAAAAACACGTGAAGTGCTCTTCATTTGAGGGCCCTAAAAATATGCTGGCCCTATAAACCCACCAGATTGCTTCATCCGGGGTCAACAGAATTAGGTCCTCTACCCAGTTGTTCAGTGGCACTTGTGTCTTTTTTGTTGGGCAGATTCCCGCAGATTCCCAACTCACAATAGGATCCACCCCTACAAAGGCTTCCTTTTTGCCGGCGAGCAGGTCACAGGTTGAAGCTGAGTCGTGGGGTTGGGAAATCTTGCGGTAACTGCGGATGGACAAGTCGTAAACCAGTTTATAGATAGTTTGTCCCAGTATTCATGGTTCACCCCATCCCATTTGGCTGCGGCTCAAAAAGCCGGTACCAAAATGGGTTGCCCTGGTAAGTGGAAACATGAACCAAAACCTGCGCAACCCCTCCTGTTTAATTTTGAGCCACACCCAATTTGTTTTGATCATAGATTTTGTCTATCCACAGTTGTCGTGCGCTGATGCTGCAGGAAGAGCTGCAAAACCTCTCGCACATGGAGGCGGTCACTGGAAAGTCCACGCCCCAGGGGATGGTGGAGGTGCGAATTGCGCCATTCCCGCTTGGCAGCTTGTCAGTGCCAGGATGCTCAGAAAGCCCGGCCAAGAACGAATGGGTGGGATTGAGTGCTTGAAAGTTAGCATTGTTGTGCCAGCACTTGTCTTTGCAGTTGACTTCAGCTATAATGAACTCGTTCCCTTTGAGACCTTTGAGGTTGGTGAATGATGATGTTTCGTCCGGATTCCATGTCTGAGTGAGAAGGTAGTCGTCATATGTTCATTGCGATCTTCACCGGAGAGAAAACACATAATGTGACTCGTTGGCGTTCCGAAGAGTTGCCCATTTGCCTTGCTGCAAGTCAGCAACATGGGGATGAAGAGGGCAGGTCCGTGCGAATCGTTCACTCAGGTCGCCCTTGGTTGGGTTGGACTGTTTTGTGGGGAAAGCATAGTGCTCCCGAGCAATCTCCAAGCCGGCTCCAAGCCAAAGACGGCGACGCTGATTCAATGAACATATTTTGATCTTAGCGGTTTTGCCATGTCAAGGTGGCCATTTTGCGAACGACCCATAGTCCTGTTGTGACTGGTGACCCTCATCTATTTTTGCAGATGTTTCACGGTTTGCGCATCGTCTGACAATGAAACAGTTACTACCTGTCAGATCAACATGAAACCCAACAAAACGCAGTTCCCTCCCCCCGAAGGATATGTCTCTCGAAGCGACGTTTGCTTTGAGAGACTGCCATGACAATCTCCAGCGGAATAAAACAGTTCGTCCAACCTCCATCCGCGAGATCCTTATGTCAGATGTCGAATTGGAGACCCTCTGACCATCATTTAGGCAGGGTTCATGGCGCCCACTTTTCAGGTGGCTCCAACTCTTCAACATCATAGCCGAGTGGTTTCCTTTGGTCGGTGTCCGGACTCTCTGCAGGACTTTGCACCAGGAGAAGCCGCAGTTTACCTCCGCCCTCCAGGCTCCGGCGAGTGCCAGTTGGCTCGTTGCGAGGCGCTCTGTCCACTGCTTGAGGTTTATAAGGTCGACATAAACCTGTTGTTATCATCGTCATCACCAGCACCAGCACCAGCACCGTCAGCATCATCGGCGCGGCGGCATCGTTATCCTCATCCTCCTCTTCATTATCAGGATGCATTAAATCAGAATGGCATTTGGTCCTTGCACCCCCGAGAAGGTTCTCAAGTTCCTTTGGCAACCCCTTCTGAAACGATTCCAAGCTCTAAGGTCCTTAGGGTTTCGGGGCTTTCTCCCGAATTACGGAAACCGTTCCAATCAATGCAGTGAATGTATGCATTGGGGGAAGGCTGTCGCCAAATCAGCAGCATATAGAAGCGCTCACATGAATGCCCGCTTCTGATTTGTGTTCTGCAATGGGTTCAATGTATCGAGTCCGAATTGTGACATCCATCCATCATGTTGTTTGGTTCATCGTGATCTTGCAACACCAAATTGTCAATTTAGCAGAGCACCGGCCGAGGCACACTAGTCAAGCAATACAGACCTGTTTGTTTGTGTGTTTGCACACTTTATTGCTTGGTTGGTTGCTTATTTGTTTGTTTATTGTTTGTATGTTAGTTAGTTAGTTAGTTAGTTAGTTAGTTTGTTTGTTAGTTAGTTTGTTGGTTAGTGTGTTGTTTGTTTGATTCATTGTTTGTGGTTAGGCAGTTTTTGTTTGGCTACCACCTTCTAAGACTCTCACTGACGCACATGCTGCGCTTGCATGAACCAGCGTGCCAGCGTGAGTGGGTTGAATCCACATCGGAGCAAACATAAACATTTAATGCGCGCAAGGGCCAGGATATTATCTCATGTTTGTTATTCTCCTGAAAACTTTGGGGTCAGTGGGGCTTGTTCTGGTCACAGGGCTGTGCTTGCGGGGTGCCAGCCCAGGCACAGCGCGGTGGATTTGTTTGATCCCACCTTCCTTGAGAGGGAACACACTCTGTTTTTGTGCCACGGCACCAATGTTAGGAATGGTTTAGTCAGCGCAAGCAAGATGCAATGTAATGAACGCCCAGAAAGCTGGGAACCTGAGCCCAAATAAGGGCATTTGACCACAGCTCATGTGCTTCTAACGCGCCCGGTTCGAGGCAAAATGTTCTAGAGATTTGGCTGAAGATACGGAACCCTGAAACTCCTTCTTGGAGCCAACATACTGGTAGCATGAACTTCGCAAAACCTGGGCTTATAAGTCAAGCAATCAACCGTCGCCGTTTTGTTTGGGTGAACCCTCACACCAAGAAGTCCCCCCTCCCCATGCGGACATTCTGCCAGGAGTCGTTCCAGCGCCTCATGAAACGAGCAGACCGCGAAGAGGATTCCGAGGCGAGGTATGGGTTTACAATGCAAATGAATGGGGAACCAAGGCCTCAGTGCCCCATTTTTCATTTTCTTGCAGGGGGCATCTATCAGCAAAATCCGGGGGCGTTTCGGTCCCGTGGCCGCTGGAGGTCTGGGTGTCTAAACAACTCATGAGGTTCAGGTTGGGACTATCCCGATAAACTTGAACCTAGGCACGTTCTTACAGACCTCACGTGGTTCTGTGCAATTGTGTGGCGAGCTCACCTGGGAGCAAAACCAGCTTTGGCTGCATGATGAAGGTCTGCACTTAAGGATTCCTGAATTTAAGATGAGGAGTTGCAGTAATGAGTGAAGAGGTGATTATTGGCTTCCGAATTCATGCAGGGAGTGGTGCTCTTTGTTGGCGCCATGTTGCTTGAACCGGATGCTGATGGGGCGACCTGTACGAGCCGCAGGTGATGCGTTTGCGCAAGCTGGCGATGGCTCAGCTCACTGGTACGGAGTTGGGGGCGCCCAGGGGCCGCAACGCATGCGACACAACTTTGTCGGGTTGTTTACTGGGGCCAAGGTCACCCCAATCAGATGTCAGGTTTTTGTTGTTTTGTTTTTTTCTTGTTCTTTTTCTTTACATCTAAGAAGCAAACAGAGTGAGCTCACATCACCCGGATCTCCCAAACTTGGCTGCCCCTAGCAATTGGGGAGCATGAGAATGCATGAATGCACCTTCCATGTACGCGGATGCACTTGTGAGCTTGCCAGAGGCACGCCCGTTTCCGCAGAAAACAGGATGATTCAGCAGAGCATGCAAGCCAAGTGCCTGATGTCCCGTTCGCGTTGCCACAAGGCCCACAGAAGATCTGAAGTTCTCTCAGAAGCAGGTCAAGGCGACTGAGCGACTGCTCTCCTGCTCGCTGGGTACAAAGGGGACCGTCAGATTGTCGTGGGAAGTTGGGGCAGTTTGGTTGTTCTACTTTCTCAAAACCGACGATGACGCCAACCTTTTCTAGGTCCCCCAGTAGTGCCCTTCTCTCCCCTTTTTGGGGGGAGGGTTCCCCTACTAAAATAGACAAAACCGAAAAACAACAAAGAAGAACAAACAGGTACCCTTCTTCTAACCATTTCCATCCTCTCCTTTTTCGGTGAGGGTTCCCCTAGACACAGAAAAACAAATCGGGTACCCTTATTCTAACCTCTCGACTCTCTACTGGAGGACCTCGTTTCAGAGGGGCGCAAGGCAACGCGGCCTGCTTCGGCCCAGCAATTTGGGATTGTGGGGCAAGTGTCGATGTCAAGGCTGCGGGGAGAACATCGCAGTGACGCACTTCCCGGACTGTTCGCTGAAACTGGCCATTTAGAAACCCCTTATCAAGTGGTGTGGGCAGCCTTTAGTGACACCAGCCAGCACCACCAACCACTGCTCTTTGGAGAGTACCAAGGGATTCTTGACATGGGAGAAAGCAGTTGGGGGGTGCTGGAACCTTTGTTTGGTTCAGGCCTCAGGATCTCGGTTCCTTGGTTGAGGCTCGTTTTAGGTTGACACTCGGTAGGCACGCCTCTGGCAAGGACTCAGGCAAAAACTCCCGTGAGAGAGACAGAGAGAGCTCGTGAGAGATGTGCGGGTGTGTTTGACTAGGTTCAGAGATGTTCAGAGTGTCCCAGAGTTGGCCCAAGATTGATTGTATTGAAGGTGAGAGTGGCTAGTGGCTATGTTTCACCTGGAGTGCTGCAAACCAGATCCTTCGCACATAGCGGATGCCATTGCCGCTGGGCTCCCTGGTTAAAAGGAGAACCTATGCGTCAACTCCTTCAAACACTTCAGGTGGTTGGATGAACTAGCAATCCTGTTGTAGTGGTGCCCCAATCCGGCCATTTTGGATTTGGGGTAGGGATTCCCCCACTTAGAGCAACCCAGTACCAGGTTTTGGGTAGACCCCCAAATTCCCGGCTGAATTTCAACAGGTACGCCCTCAAAAGTGGTTGGGCAAATGATAGTCTGTCACTGGAAACGTGCGAAGTGAATGTCTGGTCATGTGATGAAGTACTCCTTTTTGCATTTTATACTATGTGCATGGACACCCGTCTGAGGTTTGGCCAACATGTCCGGCAGTCTCAGTTCCATTTGGAAGGGCTCCGGGGGGGAGAGTAACATTTTCTCCGCAAAAACCAGGGGCCTCACTACTTGGTGGTTCCCAGCCATGCGATTCTTTAGCATGGTAGCTGTTTAGGCCCACTCAAAAGCTTAGCACCTTTTGAGCAGGGATCTGAGGACAGTTCAGACCAAATGTCCAATGTCAGCCAGGGGAAGCCATCATTTTGGGCCATGACTCCGCGCGCGCGGCAAAGAACATCGACGCCAGGGGGAGGGCGGCCTGGCTCTCACCGAGCGGCGCTGGAACGAGGTCTCCAATCTCCGCGAGGCCTTCGAGCTTCGAGTGGGAAGCGCTCGCCCCGTTGAGCCATCCGGGTCCTTAGCCTTGAGCTTCTCAGTTGGTTTTGTGGTTGGGACTTTTAGCGGTTGGGATCTCAGGACAGGCTGGTGCGATAGGGAAAGACCCAGGGTGTGGGACTGAACCTGTCTGAAAGGAAACCGCAAGGGATGGTTTATAGGGGGCATTCCCTCAGTCTTTGATGGGCACCAGCAAGTTTTTGGCTGGCCCGGAATTGGGAACATCCAGTTGCTGGAAGGAATTTTGGAGGTCTGCGTACTTGCTTGGGTACATTTGGGTACCCTCTTTGCAATCAATGGAAGTGGACAGGGGAGTCTACAACACTGCTGTGCACTGATTGTTCAGTGGATGGTATTGATTTTGGAGTTGTTTCTAAGGGAGGCCACATGGCAATGCCTAACTTTGGCACATACCCTGTGTTGTGTCCATGGTGTTGTTGGGAACACCTTGCAGTGCCATCCAAACCGAGGTGCCGTTGCTTGATCAATTAATATATGTGTCAAGAGCAGCGTAATGACAGTTTTGAGATGCCGTATTGGGGGTATGAATTGTCCTTCAGGCATTGCTTCTTGGAAGGGAATGCACTGGCGTGCTGTGACCGTATGATTTGGGCAAGAAGAACAACATGTGCTTAGCTCGTACTTTGGGTCGAATTTTCAGGACGTCCGATGCTCTATCCACAGTGGAAATAGACCTACTTGGGTTGATACGTTGCATCCAAGCTCAGAGTCAGACTGTGCACCCCCTTGCATGTCGTGGACTGAGTGTAGAGACAACCAAAGAACTATGTCAGTGGCGCCTTTAGAGCTTTGCCCAAGATGATGATTTCTGTCTTACAAAGGGGTATGTTCGTACAACCGTTGAAACTGACCAAACCACCCGGACATAGCCAGGTTCATAGTCTTCCTGACGGTCTTAATTCGCATATGTGAAATTTTGGGCAGAACTCCGGGTGTTGCCCAGTAAGGGCACGTTTTAATCGAGGTTCACGCGCGTTTTTTTTTGGCATTTGGTTCAAGTTTTAGGTTCTTGTCGTGGTTGAGCCCCGCCCTCCCCAGTGGCCCAGTCCCATGTTTGCCGAACAGATGCACAAGTGCTCGCATCAACCCTCGCATTGGCAGGCCCATCCAGAAAAAGACACCTATGCGGGGAGCGAGCTCATTTTGAGCAAGACGTAGAAAGACGCAACAACACAAGGCGCCAGAGAACGCGCACGGCAACAGAACGAGCGCCACAACTTCACTTGCTTGCGTTGCTACTTCCTGTAAAGTTCATTTATAGCGAATGAGTCGATTACGCAGGTGCTTGTTTGCAAGTATCTCGTCATCGCTCGGCATCCTCTGTCAGACGTGCGAGTTTCGGAACTAGCGGAGGTTCTGGCCCGCAGTGGCTGCGACGTGCCGCTGGCCAATGGGGATATTCTCTTGGCCGCGTTTTTGTGGGACCCTTCACCCTTGTACCTAAACTCAAAGACGGTGTTTCTCACAAACCAGCAAAACCTGAAACTGGTGCAGAGGTGCGACCAACCCACAAGCCAGTTTTGGCAACTGGAAAACCAAGCACCAATTAGGGGAGTTCTGACTTGAGTTGCACTGAGTAAAGCACGGGTGCCAAATGAATCCCCTGTGAGTGTTTGCTTTTGCAGCCGGTGTTGACTTGTCTCGTGCTCTCCGGTTCCTTGTTTCGACTGCGGGAATTGGCCCACTGGGTGCCCTTTGATCGCTTTGAAAAGCGCCATCCATCTAAGGCTACTGCCTTCAGCATTCAAGTCCAATGAGATGGCTTTGACCACGTCGCCAGCAAAAGATACTTGCTCTTGCTAAATGACCCAATTGCAAATATAAATTCTCTAGCGTGCCACATGAACGCAATTGGGGTGCCGTGAGTGGGGAGCAGCACCAGTCACCAAGGGACTTGCAAGGGCAGAGTCACTTCTCGCGACAAGGGCTTGCAAGCAAGCTCCCATTGCACATCATTCTGCCTGTTTGTTTCTGTGATCTTGATAAATGGATCAGCTACGTGCTGCTGGTGCAAAGAGATTCAAAGCCTTTCTCTCTCGCAAGCAGCCTCATCGATTCCGAGCCTAATTTGGGATGTTGAGGACATGCGCAGCTATAGACCACAGAGCCCTGCCCAGTAGGCCTTGAACGACCAAAGCATTTGCAACTTGGCTCTGTGGCACTAAACCGCACCGTTTGGCCCTTTGGCTCTATGTTGGATCTATGTCTTGGCGTTGCTGCGAAAGGTTCGCCTGTTGCGTGCTGTTCCAGGTCCTTTGGGCCCGCAGAAGGAAAGGGAACACCACCACCAAGCCAATGCAAGTCGGATCAGTGAGGTGCCACACGCTCTTTTCGCTTTTCGAGCTCAGGCCTGAGCCGCTGGTACCCCGAACCCACCTTCCGTCTGCCTGGCATATCTTGAGCAGATCCCCGGGAGAAGCGAGCTGTGGAAGGATTGTATGAAACCACTGAAAGGGGGGAATGAAGGAGGTAAGCTTACCATTCCAGATCATTGTATCACCTCATGTTGGCAAACCTGGCACCTAAGTTCGGGCTATTCAGCCTTTCAGGGTGAGAGTCGTCGTGTTTTTTCCCCTGGCAGGGCTGTTTACTGAGAGGATGCCCACTATCAAGACGTCGGTCAATGAGCTGCTTCGCCTCCCAAACAGATGATCCCCTGGAACCTAGCCCGCTGTGTTGACCTGGAATTGTAAACGTCAGAAGGGGCTGCTCCCCTTTTGTCTACCACGGCGGTGAACTTGAACAGGAGGATTTTGGGAGCCACCTGCACGGCGAATGCAAGAAAGGCCTCCTGAACCCCACCCCCCCTCCCCGCCCCAATGAATGGTTGGGGAGTGGGCCCCTTTTTCTGCATTTCCCATTCCTTTTGGTTGGTGGATAAATGGAGAATCATGTGGGCATGTTTGTTTTTTGCGGAGCCCAAAATGACTCCGGTTTGTCTATTGCTTTTCCTTGCCACAAACAAGAGGCTATACCCACAAGACTCAAGAAAGTACGAGCCACCCATGTACCAGCCCATGTGGAACGAGGAAGCGCCTACGCCTCGTTTCAGCTAACGGGCCTCTTGGGCCCTGCCTTTCGCCAGGCTCCGGTTTTTCTATTGGGTTTTCCTTACCACAACACCCTCAAAACCAACAAAGCACGAGTCACGTTTTTTTTCTTCCCCCAGGAAGGGCGCTGGCAATTTTTCGTGCCAGGCTGGGCTGCGTGGTGGTGCGCTACCGACACCTGCGGCAAGCCGTGTGGGGCAGCGAGCCCGTCACGGCGCGCGCGGATCGGATCGAAGGTTTGATCGCTCCAAGCATCGATGGGGAAACGGGGGGAGTCCGGGCCAATTTGATGCCAATTTGATGCCAATGGAGCTTTTTCTTTGACCAAAACAGGCCTTTTGATCAAGCTTTTATGTCCGGTTCTTTGGGCAAGTGCGTTGTCCGAGGATTTTTTGAGCTGTTGGTTTCCCATGGTCCATGTTTCGTCAAGGCAAAAGGTGATCACCTTTAGTTGAAGGTCCAAAGTGGGCAAGGGAGCTTTCACAAGTTGAGCCTCCAGCCCAAAAGACACCTTTGGAACCTGTGCAGTCCTTGCAGTCCTTTACTGAATAGGAAACTCAATGGAGATCGTGACATGTTTCGTCGGGCTGGAGAGGGCAAGACTGACCTTGAAGGGAGCAGTCCTGCTTGTCGAGCCTTGATTGTTTGATCGGTGAAGAACACGCTTGACTGTAGTCGGTTGTGCTGTTTTCGCATAGACTATGAAGCGAGTTGGTATCGGCATGTACTCTGAGGAAGTAGACTGCAGTTTCATGAAGCTGCCGCAGGTTTCATTGCGTAAGCTCTTGTCATGTGTATAGATACATACATACATGCATACATACATACATACATCCATGCATACATGCATACATACATTCCTACATTCCTACATTCCTACATTCCTACCTTCATACATTCATACATTCATACATTCATACATTCACACATTCATACAGACAGACAGACAGACAGACAGACAGACAGACAGACAGACAGACAGACAGACAGACAGACAGACAGACAGACAGACAAACAGGCAGGCAGGCAGGCAGACAGACAGACAGACAGACAGACAGACAGACAGACAGACAGACAGACAGACAGACATACACATAATATATATATATACTATACATATGTGAGAACGACATCTAACAAGATGTGAGGAATCCACGAGCCAAACTTGTACAGCCGATTCTGACTTCCCTCGGCCTTTTCGTTCTTGGGGGACATTGTGGTTTTTGGGAGATAGCTTTCCGAGATGAAGAGAACTGTCCAAGAGTTATTCTGCTAGGTGCTTGGAGCCCCTGTTTTCGCTGGGCTTCAACCATGGTTCGATGATGGAGCCATAGCCGTTGAAGCACTTGCATGCGGTGTGAGCGTATGAACACAACAAGTTGCACGGAGGTGCACAGGGCGTGCAGCGACGCAGCGCTTTTTGGTGAACCAGGGTGCCTTTTAGTCCATTTGTTTTTTCCCCAACAGCTGAAAGGGTTCCACCAGGGTTCTGGGAGGGTTCTGGGAGGGTTCTGGGAGGGTGCTGTTGGGGATATCGCCTGAGCTTATTTGAGCAATAGAAGCTGGTTTTCTCGGCCGGAAGCTGATCCAGGGAGCTTCTCAAGTCCGCGAGGGTGCAAGCCAAGTGATTGAGGCTGTTGCCGGTCGTTTTCCTCGGGGCAAGTTGCCAGGTGGTCCGCACCCTGCGCCTCAGTTGTCGTCAGGGCCTTGGCTCTAAGACTTGTCGGTCCACAGCCAGGCTTTGGAGCCCTAGACCTTGTTCCTATATTGCGTTGCATACAGCTGACTGTTGCAGAGATGGTGGGACACATGGCTTTCGGGAGCGTTGAGAGTCGGTCTTCACTGTGTGTGTTTTTGGAGGAAAGCCAACATGTTGGGGGCCCCTATTTTGACTCATGCCCATAAGTGGTGAATCACACATAGGTACATTTACGTTTGGCGCGCAGATAGCGGATTGCAACCTGGAATGAGCAGAGTATGTATTGGGCCTTAGGAAGTTCGTTGTTTTCCATATCATTCCCCCTTCCTCAAAATGGAAAACAAGCAAAGGTGTTCAAGACCAATTGAAGGTGTGGTTGGGGGCGAGAGGGTGTTCCACATGAGCACGGTTCTTGCATGTCAGGGGACTCAAGAAAGTTCCACAAGCCGGAATGGATCTGAGGCACCTTACTTCCACGGTTCTCGGAGTTCGGTCAAAAGCCCAACTTGAGGCTTTCTGACCTTTCCCACCTTCGAGGTCCTCGGTGTCCCAAAAAACATGGGGTGTGTTGTTGTTTTTTTCAGGGTACCATTGTTAGGGCTGTCCTAGAAGGAAACCAAAAGGACAGCCACCCATTTTGGGTGGTACCCCTACGACCAACACATCACATGCAGAGTTTGCGCTGCCAGACTGCCAGGTGGGAGTCTCCGCGTCCAGATCGACTTTCGGCCTCGGTTCTTCGAGTGCAAAGAGGAGGCCGGAAGCGCAGCGGTGCTCTCGGTCAGAACCCGTGGGAGTTCGTGGATTTCCCCCCAAATTTCCTCAACAACTCCCCAGGAAAGAAGCAACTGACTCTCAAGAAACGCGCATCATGACGACCCGTTTGGCGGTTTTTCAAAGATATGTCTATTATTTCCTTGTGTTTTTTGGTGAGAACTTTCATTTGGTTTCAAGAGAGATGGCTCACGTTTGAGTATAGGAGCGTTGGTTGACCAATTTGAAATGTGTGAAGAAATCATGGCACCGAAGGGGCCGAGAAGACTCGCTCACTTCCGGAGCATCGCGCTCCCTTTGGCAGCGTTTGGTATTGTTTGTTTTCGTTGGGCACTCTTTTGGGGATTCTGTTTTCACAGCCGCCATAACATCAACTTGCTGGCCCATAAAGACACTACAGGGAGTTTGATCCGTGGAGGTTGCCCATGGTCGGAAGACTATGATCGGCAGCAGTGATTGTAGAGCTGTGGCCTTGCTCTCCGTGCTACTTTACTCAGGAATGTATTGCAACAGATGCGTTGATAGTACGAGTTGTCCTGGCAAGTGCCATGAGAACTCGAATGCGTTTGCAGACGTGGCAATCGGAAGGCTCTTTCAAGGTAGCACATTGATAACGTGTGGATGCTTTTCAACTGGTTTCAGCTTCTTCCACCCAGGGTTCCTTTGTACTTGATGCGTCAGATGCCCAGTTCACGAGTCTTTGAGCCTTGGCCAGTTGCCTCCAAAGGAAACATCAGAGGCCCCAGGCTGCAACCTCGCACCGAACGCTCCATGAGTCAGTGGTGTTGACAACATAGCGCTAAACCGGAAAAACGGGCTGAAGCTACTAAATGGGTGCTGATGACACGTGTGGAACTCTGAAATTCGATGCATACACAAGCTAATGGCCCGGGCTGGGGCAAATGTAGCGGCTTTTTGCGCGGGTGGTGTTTTTGCTTGAAAATCCTACACTCCTGTACTCCTTTTTGGGGATTCGACTTGCCAGGATCGCGCGAAGCTGCTGTCCCCCGAGGAGGAGGATGAGGCCTTCGGGTTTGGCTTTGCGCGGAAAATGGCAAGTAATTCCGGCTGCCCTGCAGGGTAAACCGACTTGATTTGGGGCAAATACCTTTTGTTGGGTTGTTTAGTGCTGGCCCCAGTTGCTTTCATGCCCATTTCCAGCTGAGGTTCTTTTGGTAGTCCGGTTGTTGTTTTGTTCACCAACTCTCGATTTGCTTGGCCAATCACCAGAACCTGAGGCGTTTTTTCTCCGACTTCTCCAGAGTTATTCGTGTATCACTTATCGGCATTCCATTTGTGTCCTGCTTCAGGCCAGTGGCTTGAGCTTCAGGCCAGCGGTTATCTAGGTCCCCCAGTCGTGCCCTTCTACCGTTTCCTTTTTTGGGGGAGGGGTCCCCTGCTAAAATCGACAGAAAAAAGTTGGTACCCTTATGAAAGACCTCTCTACTGGAGAACCAAGTGTTTGTCCTTGGTGGATCCGAGAGAGTGGGCGCTAGTCACTTTCCCGACCTGCAGCGCGCAGGCAATGACACGGGTTGCCGTAGGCTTCGAGCAGTTTCCGGGGTCTTCGCAAGGCCATCATATCATATCTCAACATCATGAACCTCTCCACTTTCCATCGGCCGGTTTTCTTAGCCGGTTGCTCCAAGAATGCCGCAAAACCCAAATTGGGGTGTCCCGAATTTGTCACACACCCAAGGGGTGTTTGTTGCTTGGGTCAAGCCTTTGCATCGGCCAGTTGTACCGGATCACGCCCGGCACAGAAGAGGACGCTTTTGCGACTTTGGGCATTGGCGTCGCATGGACCATTGAACCATTTTGTTTTTCTAGCCCCTATTCTTGGCTTTCGGGTAAACAACATCAGGTTGGGGGTCGGATTAGCAAGGTCTCTAGGGCAACCCAGGATTAATGAACCGCTGGTTGCGCGGTAAGGGGCGTAGTCTTGTATATAGAGGGCATCCTTTGTCTACTTCTGGCGGGAGCAACCCGGACAAAATCCGCCAGTTGTCTGCGGTCAGCAGGGAAGAGGGGTAGCCCATGTAGAACCTGCCCATGATCAATCCAGAACGATCAGGGTGCAAGCTGACCCAAAGGCAGGCTGCGTGAGCAGCAGACACCATGGAAGTGCAGAGAGCCCTCTTGCCAGACGACTGTCCTTTTGGAAACGCGGCCTGGGCTTTTCCATGCTTTGCTGGTGGGAGGGTAAAGCGGTTTGCTTTTTTGCTGGGAGGAGAAGTCAAAAGCGTTCCCATGCTGCCCCTAGAGTTCAAGAAGAAGACCCCATGATGGAAGTACGGGCACGGCTGCTTTTGGTTTGGAAAAAGTCCCCTTCCATTGGGCGATATACCGGGACAATTTTGAGGGGGCGGGGCAATGCATGGGTCTTGAGGTTCCTCTGCAGATACTACCGGGCCTCCCGCAATCACCAGGGGTCATACCTTCAGCAGGACCAGCAGCAGCAGGTAAACGCTTGTGGGCTCGGATTCTATATTTGTCTCATGAAGACGGGAGTCCTCAAATGGCTGCCTCACTTGGCTTACATGCAGCACACGGATTCGCAGTTGTCCTTTCTATGATATGGTGGTGGAATGCACACGTCCTTACTGATTGGCATGGTGTTCGCCCCGTCTGGTTGCCTCTTTTTCCAACCAGGAAAGGACAAGCAGCTGATGTCACAGCAAGTACGCCAACAGGCAGCTGATCCAAAACCAGCTTTAGATGCCGATTTGTCGTGTGCTGCCTCCATGTTGGACAAGTTTAATTAATTTGGACCCCCGGGCTTTGAATCGTTTGTCCATTGCGCACGATACCGAGCGGATCAGGACGAGAAGAGAGAAGCTCTCATGTGGCAGGTGCTGGACTCAACATAGATTAGCCCAAATCGTGTCTGTGAGATTGTGCCCCTCCGATTGTTTGGTGGCTCTTGTGGGTTCGTCTAGCAAACGGACCCCAAACACCAAAGCAAGGCTAAGATCTGCCTAAGCGAGAATTCGATTGAAGGTCACGGAATTTCAAAAAGGGGTCGGGTTGGTGCATTCTTCTCCGGACAGGCCCCACGGGAAAGCCCAAAGGATTCCACTCACGTGCCTAAGAAGCTGAGAGCGGGAGGCTTGAGGAGTAGGTGGCGCGTGATACCACTTAAGATCTGTCAGATTAGCACGCTGGTGCCGCCTTTTGCGCCCGTGTGTTTGTGTGTGTGTGTGGGCATGTGGACGTGTTCGGCTGAAATGAAGCCGATGGAAGGAGACAAACTTGTTTGGTTTAGTCGCGGTTTTGCGCAAATGCGGATCGGTCAGGCTTGGCATGCGCTGGTCAGTTTGCAGTCGAGACCCTGCATGAGAGACGCGTGCATTTGACCCAATAACATGCAGGGTGTTCATTGTTTTGTCTTAAACACCATATTTAAAAGGGTTTCACCCTTTTGCGACATAGCAGTCATGCGCGTCTGGGTAATTTGCTTTGCCTTCCAACTCATCTTTTCAGAGCCCAGGAAGATATGGAGAAGAAGAAAGCTGACAAGGAGCGGCTCAGCCTTGACCTGGTGGGCAAGATCAAGGCGCTTGATGTTTCGAATGTTTGCTGAGGAATCAGGAAGGGGTCAAGACTCAGGGCTAGTATGTTACCTGGATCTGTACCCCCAAAGTTTCATGCTGGCTCGATCCTAGTGGGTCTAGCTTCAGGAAATGTGCCAATGTTCACTGGTTTCCCCCGGTTACCTCGCAAGGCAACTGGATCTCGGGAATGGTTTTGTGATTTCAGTGGGCATGGTTGCATGCGCTGCGACTTGCATTCACAACAGGTCTTGACCTCTTGTCCCTGCTTTGAAGGATCTAGCTTTCCATCTTGGTTGGTTGCACACATCATTTGTTATGATGTGTAAAAAGGGAATCATATGGATGTTTACCTTTCGAGAACATGCAAGGACTCTCAGTAAAGACAATTTTGCTGATGCAAGTTCAGAAGGTAAGCCTTGTTGCATCACTTTTCGGTCACTTCGTTTACACTCGTGCTGTGCCACAAGGCACCGATGGTTTGATGGATTGAAGGCGGGGACCTTGAATTCCAAAGGATATATATATATATACATATCGGCCTGGCTTTCCAAGGTGACCAAGGCTTCGGGCAAGGGGTCAACGTTTGGCAACTGAGCGCTGCCTTCTTTGTTGTTCCCTGCTTGCTGAGTTTTAGACCGTGCTTGTGTGTTGCTCCGCTCATGGGAATCGCCTTCCCCGAGAAGAATACGTCCACCGGGCCGAATTATCTGACATATTTTTTCCCCAGAATGGTGAAGGGGGTCTTCCAGGGATCCCAGAAGTTTCCACAGTCCCAACATTGAAACCGTGCAAACAGACGTTAGATAGAATCGCGGAACGCCAGTCTTGAGATCTCGTTTTTCGGAATTGTGTTAAAACCAGAGTATATTTGATTTTGTGTATCAGTTGTGAGGCCATACAGAAAAGGACTGCTGGAGAAGAGGTTAGAGGTACGGCAGAATAGGTCAGGGCTGGATGAGTGTCTAGGCAACAAAAAGTCAATTTCAAGTGTGAATCGGTAAGCGAGAAATACCCAAAGAATTAGTATGTTCTACTTGCTTGCACACAGCTTCGGCGAATTACGTGTTCAATCTCGGGAAGAAGCCATGTCATGACAGAAACTCCCGTTTTCCACCACTAAGGTTCATGAACCCTTCTTGTTTGTGGCTTCCCCACTAAAATGATCAACCACTAAATCAGCTGAATCAGCTCCTACAGCCTGTTCGGCACAACATCTCTCTCTCATGCTGACGCAGGCCAAGCAAGTTGTCCTCAGCGCTGACGAGGCTTTGGAGCGTGCGAAGAGGCCAGGAGAACTGTCCTGCACAGCTTTGCAGCTTTGTTTGTGTTTGCCTGGTTGCTCCATGGCTTTACACGCAACCTTTGTGCTTTGGAAACTCAATCTATCCTTTGACCCGTAACTGAATTGCTTGGAAACACACTCGTTTCCCCACCAGGGTGCGAGGTAGTGTGCTGTTATTTTGCCCGCAGCCAATCATCGCCTGGCGAATTGCTTGTTCATTGGCTTCACTCTTGGCTTCTATAAATGTCGGGAATGACTCCTTCAGCCGAAGCTACCAGCTGGCTTGCAGGATCCGGCACATGCGAGATCCCGAGGCAGGGGCATCTGGGCCAAGAGGCTACAGTGGCGTCGGCAGAGTCATCTCCATTTTGGGTAAAGGCAGGGGAGTATAATACGTCAAAGGCAGGCTTAGCAAACCGCCGGCTTGACTTTTCAAACTCCAACGGGTTGGAGCGTGTGCAACCAGCTTTGTCCAAGCGACATCTCGTCGGGCACTTGGTTGCATACGCGCAATTACACCCACGCAAATAACCTTCAAAAGTGCCACTTCCATGTTCAAACAAATAGTGATCGCCAAACTGTCCAAGCATGCGGCTTCTTGCGTTTGGAACTAGGCTCTTAGTTAACATTGTCGCGGCACTGCCGGCGTTGGCCCGCCGAATGAATGGCTTTGCGGCTTCTTTTTAAACAAAAAACATACACTACGTAGCAGGTCCCGCCATGAGCGATCATATATCACACTGACCGGGTTTAGTGGTACACCTCATAGCCGTTTGCCTTTAGAGCACATGCCTGGCCTCGTGTTTTCAAATTGAATGTGGCAGTGATGGTGCAGACAGGCATGCCACTTAAGATGGTTTGATGATCTTCGGCAAAACCGCCATAAGGAAAAAGCCTTTGAATGAAACAGAACCTGGCTTCAGCATTTGAAGCCTCGCTCACTTTCTGCCCAAAACCCTAGCGAGCAGGCCGCATTGGAAGTTTTACGACACCTCAGTGCAAATGAGGGCCCAAAATGCCCAAATGGGTGTGTCTGCTTGTAGGATCCAAAGGTCCCCTAAAAGCACACACTGAAATATCAAACCCACTAGATTGGTACATTGAATTGCCATCGAAGGTTTCGCGCACACAATGGGCTGTTCTCGTTGGCCGCATTTGGTCCTCGTTGGTGCTGACAAAGCTGCCACATGTGTTTTCCTCTTTTGGCCGGATGCTTTTGTGGTTTGGGTGCTACCCTGTATTAATGGTTTCTCATTCCTACAGAGGAAGGAACTGTATGTGGAAGCTGCTTTCAACTCAAACTGATCATATGAGTCAGCGGTATCCCTCATTGGCCAACTTCCATGATACCAAGAACATGTTCCCTTTCAAGTCACTGGGATACAAACTGGGCGAAAGCGAAATGGTCGTCCCTGAAGGGACAACCAACAGGCTGTTATTTCAACAACGGTTCTAGGAGTTTTCGTTCATTTCAATCACCCAAAACCCAGGGGAAACGGCTGGTTTTTCTGGCTGAAGCTCGTTGCAGACTGGTGGCACAAACATAATGCCGCCCATGAAGGCTCCTCTCTCTCTCTCTCTCACACGCCTCGCCCGTCCGGACGCTTCGCGAATCATGGAGGCAGACCGCACCGGTCCGGCAGCTTTAAGCTGCAGTGCTCAGTTGGCACCCGCCTCTCCCACATGAGCATGTCTGCTCCGGTACGTGTACCCTAGCAAGCAGCTCAAATACAAAAAGGCCCTGTGTGAAACAATCATGAACAATATAAGTCGGCACTTGTTGCACACTTGCTGTGACCGCTGCGCAGGGCCGCCCCGTAGAGCCTAGCACCCCTTGCCGGTTACAGACACCCAATGCACGCAAGGCATCATGGGGCTGTTGGAGGCAACCCACTTATGAAAGCATCAGATCTGGTGAGGCCTATCACATAGCTATTATGAGCAAGCTGTTGCAAGTCGTGTTGGTTAGCAAGTGCTGGGAAGCTCTCATCATCAGCCAAAAAGTACACCCACTGCCGCAGCGGGTGGTATCCACTCAGAAAAGTACGATAATGACCTGAAGAGAGACTGGGCCCCACATGCTCAATCACAAAACTGACTTGGTATTCAGCCCACTGAGCTTGCAACTCAATACCAGCAAAGACAGTGTCGGGGAACTCACTTCTATGGCAAGTGGGCTGTGCGGCCCTCCTACATCCATGACGCGCATAGCCCCATCGACTTGAAGCCGCGCCTGCCAAGCAACATCAATGTCCGGAGGCAATGCTTTGCGCAACAAAAATGCCAAGAGTTCGCCTGCATCCTGTTGCACATGGATGCTTTCCCAGCCCTGCAAAAGCAGCTGCCAAGGCAACAAGAGTGTGAGGCACATCTGACCACCTGTTTGGAGAAGACTGAGGCCAGCCTCCAAGCCTCCCATGGCAGATCGGCCTGTCCTGCCGGTGAGATATCCCAGCCAAACCAACGAATGCGCACATGCATTCAAATAGCACACGCAGCCGTTGTTATGCAACATGAGACGCGGCGGCCTCAAGTTCAAAGCTCGGAGCCCCTCAAAGAGCCCAGCTGTTGCTGAAGCTGCTGGACTGCTGGCTCCGCTCCGGGCGAAGGCGCAACCCAACAAGCTTCAGGCACGCGCTGTAGCAAAGCTCTCGGAAGAGGGAATGCAGCTCTGCGGCATCGCTCCCCTGCGTTGACACTGCGAGGAGAAAGACCAAGTTCTCCCCGGAGCTGTTGCTCGTCAGAGGCCGTGTGGAATGGAACTTGTGGATCAAATGCTCTTGGGAAAAGTACAACAAGATCTTCTGCATCGTGGCATGGGCCTGCTCGAAAGACATTGGGGCTTTGGTGGGCGATGGTATCTGCTGGGAAGCCCTGTGATCCCAGTCGAGGTAGGCCCAGGAATTGCCAGCCGCAGCCACCAGGCCGGCCTTCCTCGCGTCTGCAATTGCCGCTTCCGAGGCCACAAACTTGTTGTGCCGGGAGAGAAGCTCCTGGAGCAGCGCCTGCAGCAGAGTCTGGCGAAGAGACATGTTGAGCTCCTCGGGCTTTGACTCCTTGAGGCTCTTCCAACGCTGGCTGACCTGCAGGAGAGGGTTCAGGAGACTGTGCAAGCCCTTCTCGAGAAAGAGGACAAAGGAGGTGTCCGCCCTCACCTGCGCTATGACATCCTCGTGCCGCGTGAGAATGCGCTGGACTGTCTGCAGAACCTGCGTCACACCGCGGCCGGAGGCAGCGTCCGGTCCCCAGTTCTGGTTGCCCCTGTCTCTGCGTTGGCCCTGCGGTCGGCCCTGCTGCCCACGTCCCTTGCCCCCCTTGCTCTCCGGCTTGGCCCATTTATGCCTGGGCTCGCCGTCCTTCTGTGCGGAAGTAGCGGTGAAGTCCTGGAGGTCGAGGCCCAAGGAGGGCATGATCGTGCCGAAGACTGACTGAAGCTCCTGTGCTGGGGTCTGGCAGGGCGGGATGAGTTTTGTGAGCAAAGCGGCTTGGAACAACACCGTGCACTGAGCCGCGTGCTTGGTGTGAGCAGGTAGCGCTCCACAAGCTACGCAGGGCTTGAACTTGCTGGCTCGACCCAGTGGCTCCCGGGAGCACATCGCAAGACAGTCGGAGCACATCGCAAGACAGTCATCTCGATGCGCCCAAACAGCTGGGTGCGCCATACGCACGTGTGTTTTGAGAGCACAGCGAGTTTGTGACACCCACTGGTGACACACCACGCAATGATGCCTAAGCTCAGCCCGGTACTGCTCAACAATGCTCAACCAACCCTTTTCCCGCATCATGTCCTGCACCTCTTGCCGCTCTGAGAGCGGCTTGGTATGGGCAACCAACAGGTCTGCAGATGGCTCAGGGGCCCGCTTGAGTGCCTGACAGGGCTTTTTGAAGGCTGTCCATGTGCTGAAACGTGTCTGGCAGTGAGTGCAGATTGGCATGCCATCCACTGCGTGCAAGTGGGTGCGCAGCTGGCGCTGACACTGAAGCGATCGCATGTCTGGGTTCACTAATGACTGATGATGCATCTTGGCTACTTGATTAACAAAGTAGACACCACACTGCGGACAAGGCACTCCCGGGGTGTGATCCGAGAGTCGCACAAGAGCGGCACCAGCGGCGCTGCGCGGCTCTGGCGGGGACGCCTCCCGTCGCAACATGGCCCGGAGGTCGTGCAGCGTAGAAGCATGATGCAAGTGCACACTGTGCTCTATGAAGCCGGGTCTGCGCGGGCCACCTTGCACCAACTTGGCTAGCCTGGCCTCGACAGCATGGACAGGGTCTTCCACCTGCAGCCTTGCCAACAGGGCACTGTTGGATTCAAGCGTCAAGTGCACCGGCGCCTTTGCAATGGCACGCAAGTGCCGCATTTCCACACGACGAAGCATGGTGGCAGCCTGCGGGGTCACACCCACTGCCAGCAACCCGTAAAGGAGTGAGCTCCTCACACAAGTCATGTACATGCGCACTCGGTGGAACAAGGAAAGGTGACGGCTGGAATGCAGGATTTTGTGAAGCTGGGCCCGCCTGGCCTGGGCTGCTTGAATGCGATATCGAGCAGAAGCCCCTTCGAAGTCACCGTAAGAAATCACAACCCCCAAGTAAACAAACTCACGAACCAAGGGTATTAGTAAGGGCTCCGTGGGCGCGCCTAGTTGCACATATTGCTTCCGTGCTTGCCTGACAAGATGCTGGCGCAGCCACGTGTCCGCGTAATACCCCCGCACAGCAAAAACGAGCGAGGATTTGTTGGGATTGGCCTTCATCCCCACTTCCTTGAGTGCACGGAACAGTGCCTGCACACATTTGATGGCAAAGGACAGGTCGGCTGGTGTGTCGACAAGCCAAGCCCCGTGCAGGTCATCAGCAAACACAGTGACTTGCCGGGCCAACCACTCCTCGCTGGTCTGTACGCCTAGCCTATGCAGAAAGTGAATTGAAAAGATCAACCAAAGGCTTGGGGCCACTGTGCAACCCTGTCGGACCCCTCGGCGCATGGGGATGTCAAATTCCTGGGAGCCATGCTTGATGTGATAGCGGCATTTCACATGCCACTCTAGCAGCCCAAAAAAACGCAGAGCATCAACCATGGCCTGGCGCGGAACCATGTCGAACGCAGCACTTAAGTCAACACTGAGCTGAAGGCCTCCGCAGAGTGGCAAAGTGTCCCTGCCAGCCCTTCTGTCGTGCACCGTGCGAGCCCCGTGCCTGAGGCGCTGACGCACAAGCTTGCTATGAGCGATGACCCGGCCGATGGCTTATGTGGTGCTGCGGCCTGGACAGTACGCAAATTGCGCGTAATGCTCCAGCCTGGCTTCAATGTACGGCTCAAGGCGTGCTTTCAAAGCCCCAGCGATGGCCTTTCCAGAGCATTCCTGCAAGCCGATCGGACGCAAATCCTTGGGAAGACGGGTGCTTTTCCCGGGTTTTGGCAAGAGCGCAAGCCAGCAGTGTGTCCACTCGTCAGGCAAGTGAGCGCCCGGCTGACAGGCAGTGCTGGCAAGGAGGGCAAGGGGCACCTCCGCCGCACACGCTTTCCAAGCCGATGTGGGGGCAAAACCTGGTGGCACGGCCTTGCCAATCCTTAGCTTGCGTAAGGAGCCCTGAATTTCCTCAGGCGCTATGGCCACAGGCGCTGTCATGCATGGGGCACCCACTACCGTATCACCTTGCGAGAAAACCTCTTCGAAGTGCGCCTGATAGCCGCGGCTTCCTGCCCCGGGGACAAGAGGTCGCCCTGCGCAGTGCGAATGTGCATCTTGATTCGCCGGGTCCTGGGGGCAAGCGCTTTGACAACGCTGAAAAGCTCATGGGTGTCATGCCTGCTAGCTGCAAGCTCGGCACGCTCAAGTTGCTCATGCAGAAACTGCCGCCGGGCATTCTTTCCAGCTTGTCTGTGCTGCTTGCTATGGTGCTGAAAGCGGGCTGAAAGGCACCAAGCCTTGAAAACAACCGACAAGGTCACTGAGGCACTTGTCCTGCCATGCTGCTTCATAAGCCTATATGCACGCCACATGTCTGATGCAGAGCTGACCGCCTCAGGTCGTTGCCAGGCTCGTAGATGATTGGCGCGAGGCGCGGTAGGAAACACTTGCAGGCAGGCTTGCAACAGAACCTGGTTCAAGGCCGCAACAGTCTGAGGCTGCTGCTGCACTAGGAGCCCTGCGACTGTGGCACGCAGAGGCTCAAGCATCCGCAGGTCATTCTTCCTGACCGCAGCATCCAGCATCCGGGCTGCGTAGGGCTTTTGGAAAGGGGCCCGACCTTTAGCCTGAACGAGCGCTGCGTTAAGGGGAACACTTGCAAAGATTGCTCGGTGCTTACCACCTTGGCGCCATGGCGAGAAGTCCAGGTCCAAACATATTCGGGGGCATCTGGCAACAGGATCTCATAAAGCCTGACCGCTACGAAGTCAATTTGTGTACCCCCTCCATCGCGCACAAAGGTATGGGCACGGCCGCCCCTGGCCTTCTGCCACGTGTTAAGGAGGCACAGGTCATTCTGACAGACTACTCCGACAAAAGAGTCAACATCTGGCGGGGTGTAAATGGGAACCGGCACCCCCGTTCCAACATGCTTACCTGTGGCCCTTGCCGGTGTATTCATGTCTCCCATGAGGCACAGACCGTGCCGAACAGGTATGGCCTGAAGCAGGGCATGCAATTTTTCCCAGAATTGGCGCCGCTTGGCTTCCACTTGTTTCTGCTGAGAATCGAAGCTCCAAGCCCATTGGTAAGCATTCACAAGGTGGAGTTGGGACTCTTGCCGTCCCTGCCCGCTGTGCAAGCACACCTGTAGGAGCCTCCCCGGAATAACAGCCCTGAAGCGAATTTGGGCCTCTGTGGCAATTCTAGCAGACACAAAGATGGCCACTCCTGCAAAGCGATGCTGGGGGTCGGCCGAGGACACAACATGCCAGCCGGTGTCTGACCATGATGCTTCCGCCCCCGGCCTAACCCGTGATGGGTTTCCTGCAAAGCCACGATGTCCGCTTGGTCCTGCTCCTGCAGCCACTGACGAAAGATGTCATACGTGGCTGTGCACAATCCCCCCACATTGACAGTCAAGATGCGGAGTCTGGCCTTGTGCGGCGGGCGACCTGGCGGGCCACGTGGCCCTGGCAGAGTCGGCAATGGAATGGCCTGCTGCCTCTTGATGGTGCCTAAGGATTCCGTCATCCAGCGTCCTTTCAAGTAGGTGCCTCCAAGGAGGCTGTGTTCCGCACGTCGCCTGGCGCGGCGATATGCGCGCTCCATGTGGGAGCTGGGTTCTGGACACGGCCGTGGCTATGTCCGCCGCCACGTGGCTTCGCCCCTTCAGGTGAAGGAGCTCCCGATGCACCCGTGGCTGGTGCATCAACCCTCACGCCAACGGGCTCAAAATGAATGCCAAACTGCTGTGTGGGTACAGAGGCTGCTGCCTGTGGGACATGCTGGGCGAACAATAATGCAAACAACAGCACAAATCCGCGGCTACAGCGTGGCATCATGTGATTGTGCCCGCCCCTGGACTTGGGACCAGGGCGAGTGCTTCTAGGCCTGTGGTCGCCATGACCTTTCAGGCGCAACGGCAAATCTACCGTGCGCAACGAAAGGGTAGTTTGATAGAGGCTGGCAAGCGGCTGTGTCACACACAAAAGTCTGATTCCGCACACCGCTGCAAGGACAAGCATGCTCATCTCTGCAGCGAACGCAAGCCGCCTGTCACTGCCGCATATTGCCGCGTCCATGGCGGCATCACCCTACCCTTACCACCCTAGACTACCCAGCCCTCTGAGGTCGGGACATGGCCTGAGCACTCGTGGCGCTTTAAATTTTGGGAGCTCAGAATTTCCAGTTTCTGAATCAAGCAATTTGCACAGTAGCCACTTTGTAGCGCGCATTGTGTGTTATTTCACACCATGATTCAGGCTAACCCTTCATTGGTGGTTACCTGGTTCAGATTGGTGGCTGAGTTTGGACCTTGTTCTTGAGGGCAAATGGAAAACCTGGAACTCCAAAGCACCACGCTCAATACTGTGGATGAAACAAATCTTGCACCACTTCGAAACCATGGGAAGCCATTGTTTCTTGGTATTTGCGGGGGAATCATCATTTCAGGAATTCTTAGGTGGTGCAGGATTTTGTCCATCCACAGTAGAGAAACTGCAGAAACCGAATGGATCAAAGACTCGCAGGTGCTCCTGCGGCGCTTTCAGCAAGTCTCCCACTGGGCCAGCTCTGTGCGGAGCTCGGGAAGGAACTGACGGGTTTTCGGGTGAGACTCCTGATGGGAACGTGGGGCAATGTTGAGCCGTCAAAAGAAGAGTTGTTTTCCACGACCTGTCAACTTCCATGAGTAGTGGAAGGAGTTGCTGGTGGAATTAGATTTGTTTGGAATGAAGGGATGGTTGGTTGCAGCTACGATAGCCCTGGACCTTGAACTGATTGATCGATTCTGCCCGAAAGAGCACAAGTGGTGGCAAGCCAAAGTCCCATAGCAAGATTCTTTGCACGCGGCTCTCGCCGGAGCCCAGTCGATAGCTCACGCCCAGTTTCATTTGACGAAGCCATGGTACCTGCAATGAGCTGTGCCCCCTTGGGGCCGGTGGGGGCAAAGCAAGGAGCCCCGAATCGAAGGGTTTGGGTTTCTAGCAGCGCCGTCATTTCTCCGTTGGCCATTGGAACATGGTGGGGCCCGTCAACTTTCAGGGACCGCAAAACGATGAGTTGCTGTGTTTTGGCGCGGGCAGGCTGGTTTCTTCCCATACGTGTAGCATTTGCCTACATCGAAGAACATCGTCTCTGCGAACTTGGGTATAAATGCTACATGGCTGTGTCCTTTTTTGGGGGCGGGGGGGGGGCCTCCGGTGTCCTGTTGGTTTCCCTTTAAAAACCCTCCAACAAAACAGGCACCCTCAAAAAAGATTGATCGATTGATCCTCGCTAAGCCCCCTGGGGGGCTTCCCAGGTGCTTAAGATCCGCGAGGAGTTCCGCAGGGGCCTCCGCATCGGCTCGCGGGCAGATATCTTTGAGGAGTTGCAATTTGGGTGCCGTTCGGCTCCTCTTGGGTTCCTTTGATTTTTGTGGCGAGTGTTTTGGGTGAACTTTTGTGTGGCATCAATTGCCAAGGATGGTTGGTTGATTTGAAGATGGGCTTCTGTGCCAAGTGATGAGCGAATGCCTTTTCTAGCTCCCTATCACATTTGGTGTCTTTGATCATCGCCACTTGAGTCTTCGTCGGAAAGGGCGAGCAGGCTTCTCCGGATTCCGCATTCGACACTGGTTGTTTAGCTTCAGAATGCAATGGATACTGCGAATCATTCCCGCGACCCGGTTCGTACCTCGCGGATGTTGCGCCATTGACTCCCAGAGACACGATGCTCAAATCGCGCAGTGTGCCAGATTTCGATTTGTGTAGATCCTTGTGATGGATCTGACCTGGTTTTGGTTGTCCTTGATGACCGCAAAGCATGTCCAAACCTGGTAGAGACTTGTCAATGAAACCTCTTCCGCGGGGTCTTCTGAATAGCTTCTGCAGAGTCAACAATGTTCTTGCCATTTCATTTCATGCCATTTCCAAGAGCCTGTTCATGATGTACACTTCTCCCCTTGTTCAGTTTTGAGAACTCTTCCATGACGTTCGCGCAATTCGACACCCTCAACCCACAGCTGCTTGACTCTGTCATGCTGCAAGGCAACGCCGAAGTGGAGCGGGCGCGGCAAGCAGCGCGGCAAGCGGAGCTCTTGGCCAGTGAAGCGAAGAAGGGCGACAACCACGACAAAAACAAAGTCCGGGCGCGCCTGGCGTGGTTACTGGGCTCGTTGACGTGAATCTCTAATCGATGAAGGCTTGGATATAAGTTTGATTCATTGTCAGGGTTTGCCTTGGGTTAGCTCGTTTTCGGCTATTGTCAGCAGTTGTCACATGTTCATATCCAGCAAGTCTTGCTTTGCGAGCCAAATGCCAGGGGAGGGGTAGGGGGGTTGACTTGGATCATCGCAGGTGCGGTCAGATTCAGAGCCTGTTCCAGTTCTCGCAGCTTCGTGATGTCGTGCGAGTCTAGAGTGGATCTCTGGAACTGCGTTTTGGGCAAGGGCCACTCGAGCATGTTGGAGGTGGCGGCATGTGTTGCTGTGGCTTGCTTTGCCTTAGCGCCAATGCGTTTCTCATCACTTGGTGGTTCCCAGCCATCCCCTTAGCTGTTTAGCCTTTTAGTGTTTAGTGGGAATTTCCATTTATCCATTTAACCCACTAAAAGTTAAACTTTTAGCGGGGGATCTGAGGACAGCCCAGATTTCTTTTGACAATCGCTTTGCTCGCGAACGGCGCGGATCATGCTCTTCACTCTGGAGGGCTGACCTGATCAGGATTCAGTACTCTCCATCCCGGAAGCGAGCATGGGGAGGACCATAAAAGAACAAAACAGTTGAAGGTCGGCAGGACTAGCATATACACTCTAACACAGCTCCTCATACTATATTGTTGCTCCCCCAAAGGTGTTGTGTGTGTGAGATGTTGGTGCAACTATGTGCAAATTATGCCTTGTTGTAGTCACAATTGCGTGATGTGCAACTTCATGTGGTTTGTATATGCGAGAGCCTCAAAGTGGTAACAGAAACGGGGCACACTCCGCGTGGCAGACTGTGGGCCTCACCTCCAAGATGAAGACCTATGTGCGGACCAGATACAAGGCAGGGCCTTACATTCACGTGGTCCAGGCGTCAGCCAAGTAACGAGCAGCCAAGACGCTAGTGGCAACTAAGACATGCATGCCCGCATGCAGCATACATACACACATGCATCAGGCGTGCGTGCGTGGGTGCGTGCATACATAGATGCATATACATTAGTACATGCATGCATGCATGCATGCAATCATACATACATACATACATACATACATACATACATACATACATACATACATACATACATACATACATACATACATACATACATACATACATACATACATACATACATACATACATACATACATACATACATACATACATACATACATACATACATACATACATACATACATACATACATACATACATACATACATACATACATACATACATACATACATACATACATACATACATACATACATACATACATACATACATACATACATACATACATACATACATACATACATACATACATACACACACACACACACATACATACATACATACATACATACATACATACATACATACATACATACATACATACATACATACGTACAGGCACACCCCCAAGCCAAACAGACAGACATACAGATGCCTACAGACATACAGATGCCTACAGACATACAGATGCCTACAGACATACAGATGCCTACAGACATACAGATGCCTACAGATGCCTACAGATGCCTACAGACATACAGACATACAGACATACAGACATACAGACATACAGACATACATACACACGCACACGCCCACACATACACACATACGAACATATAACTACATACCTGCCCACCTACCTACCTGGCTACCCACCTACCTACGTACCTACATCTCTACATACCTACATCCCTACACGGTTACATGCCTACATACCTGCTTACCCACCTACCTACCTAGCTGCCTACATGTCTACATGCCTGCCTACCGACGTACCTGCATGAGTTAGCATCAAAATTACCGCCATGTACTTTATACGGGAGTGTTTCATGCATTTTTTTGTTCGAAACAAGACACGGGAAGTCCAAACAACGAGACCCCTTAAGCATGTTGGCATTGGTTGTAAGTAACAATGTCTTATCATGTGTGTGTTTTCCTAGAGCGTGTGTTCTTTGTTTGCTTGGTCAAGACTTGCAACTAGGCCCTTCCATTGCAAGGGTTGCAGGGCAGACCCACACAAGTAACCTTGCATTTGTGCTGCTGGGAGTGCTTTCAACCTGTTGCAACGTTCTTGGGGGATCAAAAAGGAACCTCAAAGAAACACTGCTATTTGGCATTTGGAGTACCGGCTGCGTGTAGGCATTGGCCCAAGACTTTTTCGCACCTTTCGCCACGTCCACTTGGCTAGTCGAAACCCATGTGCGGCTGTCGGGAGCGTCAGCTGGTGATTCTTACCGAATCTCTTGGCAGCAAAATTGCAAATTTGAGAGGTTACAGTTGGCTATGATGGGAGGCGTTTTGTGCAAGCCATATTGTCGCGCTAAGCACGTCTGTCCCATTGAGGCAACTGGATTTCCCCAGGAGGAGTGCAGCATCGGAGTAAGAAGCAGGCGTTGCTGCATGGGTATATGTCAGATACAATAGGAAAGGCGCGGACAGCGCAGTCTGTTCACCTTGCACGGGCAGTGGCTGAAGCTCTTGCGCATCACGCGCAAAGGTCACGTGGGAGCTTCCCTTGGCAGTCGGCACAGATGGCGCTGATCCAGAGGAGCTGCGCGACTCTGGCTCCGAGCCGCGAGCCGGATGCCTTAAAGGAGCGGATCGTCACCAAAAAGCTGATCGATCACACATATTGCCGTGCTTCGCAGTTTGTTGAAGAAGTCTTGAAGCAACACCGAGTAACTGGAAGATTGCAGCCATCTATCTACTGAGCGGTGCTGGGGCTCATTTTTTCGGTCCTACGAAGCTATCCATCACTACTGCTGCGTGACGCCATTGCAGCGCAAGGCGCGGGTTTGCATCCACTTGGGTGTGGAAAAACATTTCAGGTCGAAAGCAGACAGGCCCTTTGCCGTGTTTGAGAAGATTTTTCAAGATGTCCGCACTCAGCAACGTGATTTGACGGAGATCGGCGAACTTCGCTTGGCTTCAAGAACGTGCCGACACCACGCGCAGGACGAACCGAGCTCCTCCGTTTCTCGTCATCCTCAACAATGTCGCTTCGGAAAAGCAGGCTGGAAAACAGGTTCAGACGCACCAGAAAGGACTTTTAAATTGCCAGAATGCATTACCACCGCGCAAGCCGGGCAGGCGCGTAGCTGCCTTGGAGTAGCGCGCCTTTGCCATGCAAGCTATCGCGTCGGAGGTGACCTTGGAGCCTAGCCGCGACACTGCTCCCATGTACCGGGAGGGTTTTGGAATGAGGAATGGCGAGACCCTCAAGCCTTTGGGCTTGCCACGATGAGACTGCCCTCACAAGGCGGCAGCAAGCCCAGAAGCAGCTGCTCCCAGATGGCGCCAACCAGCGTTCGGGAAAGCAAACGAGCGCTGCCTGACTGCGAATAGGCGCAAATTCCCTCTTAGGAAAAAGCAGCTCGGGTCTGCGTCAAGCGCAACTTCCTCTTACTCGAGCTTCGACTCAAGCTCTGAGGGGGACTAAACGGAATCTGCGACTTGTCCTGTGGTTTGCTTTGCTTGCAGGGCTTGCTCTTCGGCCGCCGTATGGCTTGATCGCAATTGTTCGCCGGCTATTGGGAACTTCCATTCCGGTGATGTTAGGTTGGCGCTGAGCAAGCAAAGGGCCATGGATGTGTCCCGTAGCCACGGCCTGTGAAACGATACGGGACGTCCTTTTTAACAAAACCTGTAAAACGATGCGTGACTTCCTAACACCGAATGAATACACCCCAGACAAGTAATTTTGGCGCTGGCTCACATACATGTATGCATGTATATATGTTCCAATTTCCAGGCCGCCTACGTAAACCAACCCTAAAAAATATACCCGTCCTAAACTAAACCTAAGCCAAACCAACCCCAAACTAACCCTAAAACAACCCTAAGCGAGCCTTACGCCAACCCTAAACCAAACCCTTGTCGCGCGGGGATTTACGGCTCGGAACACAAATATATATATATATATATATACGTACATACGTAGTTACACACATATAACTTCCCAGCTATTTTTGGGTCCATGCTCACGCTTATCATTGAGTTAGCTCTCATCAGAAGGGGCTCTTGCAAGCGTGGCCGGGTCCGATGCTTAAGTCGGCATGGTAGCAACTGCCCTCCTGTGTCACAAAATGGCTGAAGTCACCGAAATCAGCGGATACCTTCTAGTATGACTGAGAGAAGAAGGCACCCTGTGGAATTCAGGGTCTGGAGACCAAGGGCGCTTGCTAGCTTGGATTCTCTGAAGCATTGAATTTGGAACCATAGACAGCCTGGAAACTACCATGGGTGTTTGCTGGTTTATTTGCAGCGTGTTGGGAATCAACGGTGGTGTTGCTGGAGGATAGCTCCCCAGATCAAGCCTTTGTCAACCTTTGGGGGCGCAGGAATTTGACAGAGGTTCTGATGCAGTGGCGAGCCTGGCTTCATGCCCTCGAATGCTTGCACTGTTTTTATTCAATTGCCCCTTTTTTTCAGCACCGCCCAGCGTCTTCTCTAATTGGCCAACATGTCCTGCTTTGTTTGGCTATGCTCATTTCGGGAGGGCATTTGGGACTCGCTAAACTTCGGGCGCAAACTTGTCCTGCAAAAACACAAGGGCCAGCACTTGTTCTCTCCATGTCCCCGAATTCCCCGAATTGATTTTGATTCCTGATGAACCTAGTGAATTACTTTTGGGTGCTTTCCCCAAAAGTCATTCGGATCCCCTCTGTGGTGGGGGCACCTCCACGAAAATACACGAAGGGTGTCATAATCCGGGATCCCTACCCCCTCGATAAGTCAATATGGGGGGGGAGGGGGTGAGGGGGGTGAGGTAGGTTTGGCGCTTTGGGGGAGGCAATCCCTCAGCCAAAACCCCCACCCCCCCAGGCCAAAATGGAATATGGAGGCCTTGAGTGGCGAGATGGTCGTGATATCTGAGGTCAATGTTGGGGCAAACCCCGCCTTTGACACGAGGCGTGGGCTGAGGAGAAAGCCTTCAAAGAGAGGGCGCTGGACCAACCCATCGGCTCGGCCAAAAGCCTAGCCCCGGTGGAAACGGTCGAAACGGTCGAAACGCTGTGGCTCAGGTTCACGCTGAACTTTGAAAAAGGGCCTGGTGCGACAGGCTTTGGCGCTCTTGTTGGGAGGCACTATTTGAGAAAGGTGTGCCCCTGCTAAAGTAGAACTCGACTTGGAGGTGCATAGAGGGTTCTATACCTATAGAGGGAGAGGGACTGCCTATTTCCAAAATGGATCAGCCAACTCTTGTCGCGGGGTTGCCAGTTTCAGTGGCAAAAGCTTGTGGCCTTGCCGAAAATAATGCAAAATGCGGTGGTTTAGGCACTACCTCAGGTGCTGATCACAAGGAATTGCCGGGGCACGCCTTGGTTTTGTTCTCTTAAATGGTGTGACCCAGGGTCGGTGAGGTTTTCGGGAGGAAGGCTAGTCAGCCTTTGATACTGGTACGAGCAGAAATGTCGCAGTATTCCCTATTTCCCATTGATGTTGTTTGATCATCACCATTTGACGTGTTGGGCGAGTTTAAAGTGAGTTTCCATTTGGCGGGGTGCGGGCATTTGACTCACCACTTCGAGTGCCTTTGCCGCGAGGTCGACATGGGGGAGATGCTGAAGTTGAAGGCGGTGCCAGGGGCAACTTGGCAGGAAGCAGGCATGAAGCTCGCTCGCTGGACGATGTCGCGTGTTGTTTGGAGGGTACATTATATATAATATATATATATATATATATAATATATATTTTTTTCAGCGGGGGAAATTTATGCGACGCATTCCCATGTGCTGCCAACATGGTTAGTCTATTGTTAGTTTGGGGTGGACATGGGGGGGCCACCGGATATTTTTTCAGGTGGCCCAACCATCCTTCGTGTTTCTGGGTATCTTGCCTGGAAGGGGGGGTTTGCATGCGGATGCCCTAAAAAACAGACGAACCCGTATATGCTAGGGACAAATCTCCGTTTTACTTCGGGGTGTAGTAGATGTTCGTTGGTCACCAATGTACGGGTTCATTGCAAGGGCATCCATTTTGCGAGTACACAAGAAACATTCGAGACGAAACCATATGATTCTGAGCTGGCCTTTCCCATGTTGGCTTTTGCGGTACGTTTGTTGGGGTCCCCCGAAGGAAAACTCGGGTGTTTTAACTCCCTTGAATCAAACAACAAATGGATCGCTGTGCTTTTATGGGTTTCCAGGCCCTAAGTTTATTTCCCCTGAAGCAAAGTTCCCAGGGCTGGTCACACATTCCGAGGGATTTGTTGGATTTTGGATTCCATCGATTTGCGCCCTGGCGCTGGGCCATTTTTTTGATCAACAGTGGCTCCTTCAAAGACTGGAGAGGTTGCAGCTGGAACTCTGCCTTGCTGTTGGGCCAAGTGTCTAAGTCCCAGGATAGAAGTGTCGCAGCCTAGCAGGGCATAGTGGAAAGTGCAGAGCTTGCTCCCGTCGGGTTGTCCAGTACGCGGACAGCTTGAATCTTGCCCGGCCAACTGCCACTTGTCTCTAGGTCTGTGGAAGATCGTCTTGGTGGTTGTTCATTCCATCATCGGTCGTTCCGCTTGCAGGAACAACCTCGGTAAAAGCCAGTGAACAGGATGAATTTACCCCGTGGTGAAGGGCTGGTTTCAGAAGGATGCCATCTTTGGGGTTGGTCCGAGGGGAAAATAATGGGGGAACCAAAGGATCACCCAAAGGAAACCGAACGGAAACAAAGGGGAAACCAAAGGAACAAACGGAATCCCAAGGGAACTTTGTTTTGGCGGATCTCACATAACGCCAAACACAAGGTACCGGTGCCAAAGAAAGTGCCGGCGCCCCACATTCCGAGACTGAAGGCCGGACAATGCTTGCGGCCGAAACCCGAAACACCGGAATCGGGATGGCTGCTATCAGGGTGTCTTTTTTGAGTGTACCACCGTTGGATGGTTGTTGACGGGAACCAAAAGGAAATCACCCATTATGTTTGGGGCTGTGGGCGTGCCCCTAGTTTGATACAAACCCATTGTGTTGGATCTTTAAGCTTCATATTTGTGGGTTCTCGCAATAGTCGTCAAAAGTTAAGCTCGGAGAGCAGGGCAACGGTCACCAAGAAGAGACCAGGGCTGCCCCCACTTCTGTGTTCTAGAGGTAGATGGCAATGCCGTTCTATTCGGGAAGTCAGCATAGTCACTTTGCTGTGAATCCGATGCCCAAATTCACTGGTCTGCCCGCTTTGGCCCGCTCTGCACCTTTCAATTCTAAATGCGTGTGCCGCGTTTGCCGTCTTCTTGTTTGTGCGGCCATGTCCCTGAAACGAAGTGGTCCAACCACTGCATGCGCAGTTCGGTCAATCAGCGGTTGGTTCTGGTAATCATTCCAATTTCAAGTATCTGTCCCAATTCTATCGCTGGCTCTTAGGCGCAATATTCAAATAATAACCTATGATCTAGATTGTTAGCTGTGAAGTCAAAACTGCGAAGGCCACATTGCTACAGTCGTCTCCAGAGCTCAGATTCTTGATGGCAGATACACCTCATCATTGTGTGTAGCGAAAGGCTGTTGCGATTGCCACTCAGTGTTCACCCGCCAATACTGTATGAACTGGGTAGAGACATGTCCGCCCTTTGGTTTGGGTGCTCTCTCGTTTTGGCCTATAATCCTGAGGATGGGCAAAATCCAGCACCCAGCAAAAATGGATGAAACCCTGAATCTTGAGGGCAGCTGCCAACTGGTGCAGGAGTTTGTCCATCCACAGTGTGACTGCTGTTGTGTTTTGTTCTTGTCTAAGCGTTGATGCCAGATTCTGATCCTGACCGTTCCAACTATGGCCCAGGGATATTCTGTTATTGTGCTTTGTCTTGTTCCTGGTTGAAATGCAGGGACTCAATGTGCGGTGGGTGACAATGCAAGATCCAACGACAAGCATCTGCAGAAAAGGCTGTTTTCAGGTGCCTTTTGCTCACTCTTACAGACTAGGATGGACATCCTCATTATTTTGTAGCGAGTGCCGACAATACCCCATATGTATCCGCGGATATATGAACATTGTATCCCAACCTAGTCGTACAGGGTTCGTGTGGCTTGCTACTTGGCCAACACCACATTGCCCCCCCTTGATTCCTCCTTCGCGGGTTTCTATGGTTCTCCTTTTAATGCTGGTTTAAGCATCACCCTGTAGTTTTAAAGTGAGACTCCTTTTGATGGTGTTTCTTGTTTCAAGGGGAAGGACAAGGCGAAACGTAAAACATCCATGCTTTAGTAGGAAGTTGGGACCGTTGCCAGGAATCCCTTTCCATTTTCCATTCCTTGAGACCCTGCCTTTTCTGCGCCAGGCGGAGCGTTGGGTCGAGGACTTTTTAGACGGATCCCGCATGATTTGAGAGCGCAACAGATGCTTGGCCCATCCGTCCGGCAGGAAAGGCGGCCACGGGTTTGAGATCACGTCATCCAACGGATATCTAATGAAGGGACAAAGGTAACGATGGGAGTCCCACTTTGGTTCGTTGTTTCCCACGTTCAGGTCCCCGAACAAATCAGGGCACCTGCCCATGAGCTTGTACCGCAAAGGCGCGATTGGTGTTCCTCCTCGCTGTTCCCGATGGTATCTACATGACTATCCTTTGCAGAAGGCAGCTTGCTCAGTTCCTGACACGATAGATCACAGGAGTTTCGTGTCCTGAAAGGTGCGCGGAGAGCATCTAGTTAGGGCCTCAAGGGAACCCCTAACTTTCAAGACATTCTCCATCGTTTACAACCCTCAAACATGGTCGCAGGACACTAAGTGAGGCTTTGATCGAGGGATCCAACAACTTACCAAAGAGTTTATCCTTTTGCATTTGTATGTACTGATACACGAGATATTCTGGGGAGGTTAGAATTATATGTTGTTTGTATTTGTTTGTTATTCATGTTTGGCAGAAGTTACACGCCCAGCCAGCCTGCACAGCCATCGTTTCACCGCGGTCACGGCGCAAAAACCGCCCCCGAGAGTTCAAAGAACGGGCGAAATCGCTCCACGGTCTCACCGTGTACAGAAGCCTGGAGCCTATGCCTTGAGGGGAGCAAGATATGGGTGTGTCTTTTTTGGGGGGCCCCAAGAATGCGTGGCTTTCCGTTTGGTTTTCTGTTAAAACCACTAAAAAAGGGGTCCCCTCAAAAAAAGATACACCCATGTTGCAACGTACACATTGCAACATGTGTGAAACGTATTACACATTGCCCCACAATTCAACATATTCCAACATACTGCAAGCGACCAAGTACGGACAAGTTGTGTTCTAGAGTCCTGAAACGTGCGCTTTGTAGCGATTCCATTGATTCTGTGGCAGGATTAAAGGTTGCTATCAATGTGAATATGACTCACTGAGTGCCAAGGCCCACGTGCCGCGCCGCGTGCGAATTCGAAAAGAGACGCCGTGTGATGTGCTGTGCTGGCCTGGTAGTACGCATTGTAGCAGGTGAAAGGTGGCTACCCTTCACGAGGTGTGACTTGATGTGACATCAGCTAGCCTATCAGGTGTTAGTTGCTTGTTGATAGGGCTCCAAGCCTGGAAACAAACGGTGTGGCCACATTTGCGATTGAACACGGACCACTCTGAGGGATCAGTGTTTGCCATTCAGACCTGGCTCATTCTGGCGTGCAGAAAGCACAACCGCATGCTTTGCCCCTGTGGTTTTGTAGTTCTTTTGTGCAAGTTCTTGCTTCCAATTTCCTGTTTCCAAGTTCCTGTTTCCAAGTTCTTGTTTCCAAGGCACACGTTCCAACCTCCTCTCCTCCCCAGCCCAAAGATGCGTGTTTGTGGCTCACCCACGTTTGTCTCATGGGACTTGACGTGCATAGAGCCTCCAGGCCGCCCCAAAATATGAAGGCCTCTGTTTTATCGACTCAGAGCCTACCGGAAGGTGTCAACTAAGTCCTGTGCGCTTAATCCGAAACAAAAGGGCACCTCCTTCTTGTTTGATGAGCACGGGAGAGATGTTGTGGGCATTTGCTGTGGCTACTTTCATGTTACCTGTGTGGGTTCCTGTCTCACGTTTTGGCCATTTGGGGGCAGGCCAAGGCCCTGCAGCTGTCCGAACTGACGCACGGATATTCTCGACCAGTTTTTATTGCAATTTAGGCACAGTTCGTGCATCAGCTTTAAAGGGCCCTTGACTTGTTGTTTGCCGGGGAGGATTCGTTCAATCAAGCTCTTGCCGGGTCCAAGTAGGCAATGACTCAGAGAGATTCTTGGTGACAGAGGCGATGGCCACTGCCAGTTCCACATGTTCAATATAGCGAATGTTGTTTTTTGTCCGCCGGGAGAATGGGATGAGCAGAAGAGCAACTGCAAGTGGGACAAGTACAAGCTTTGATGACTGACTCCCTTGCAAGTGAGCAAAATGCATGCAGAGCTATACAGGAGACTCATCGGGGACCGGAATGGTCGTCAAAGGGTGTTCAAATGATGGTCACCAGCCCTTCATGCATCTGAGTAAGAAATACACAAGCGCCCCTGTTTGCCCTATTGGATTTGTTTCTTGAGGGGCATTTTTTCCTTTTTTTAAGGTTTTTGTTTGTTTTCAGGGTGGGTGGCTTTTCGGCTTTTTGGCTTTTGTGGCTTTTACGCGGGTTTTTGTAGCTTTTGTGGCTTTTCATTTCGCATCCTCTGCATTCACAGGTCCTCTCTGTATCCTCTGCATTGCCAGTTCCGATGCGGCAGGTGGCTTTCTGGCTTTGTGGCTTTTGGCGGCTTTCTGGCTTTGGCTTTTCGCATCCTCTGCTTGCTCAGTTGGTTTTTGGCCTTGGCTTTCTGCATCCTCAGCATCGCAAGTTCCTCTCTGGTGCCCCCCGCCACCCCCCTTTCGACTAAAATGCACGCCTAATTGAATCATCAGTTTTTCGATCATCATGCGACAGCTAAGCTAGATTGTTTGCCCCTAATTGAAGCATCACTTATTCGATCATCATGGGGGGGCTGCCGCCCCTGGCAGCCCCCCCCCCCCCCCCGCTGTTTTTTATTTTATTTTTTGGCCCTAGTTGAATCATCACTTGTTCAATGGGGGGGGGGGGGGCAGCCCCCCCAACCCCCCCGCTACGTTTTAGGTGTTTTACAAGGATTAGGTCGCATTTGAATCCTCACTTTTACCATCATGAGGGGGACCCGCCCATCTTTTTAACATGCATACATAAATGCCTACCTACCTTGCCACAGAGGAACTGATGATGCTGAAGATCAACCAAGGCCCTCGATTTGCTGGTGATGCTGGGGATGTTGGCTGGACATGCGGGGGATGTTAAAAACGATGCTGACGATGTTGGCGGACTAGCGATATGTACATTTCGCGAGAACATGCTGTAAATTACAGCGTGTTAGTAGCCTTTGTTTCTGAATATTTTAAGTGGGGAGCCAGAATAAGTTGCAACCGTTCATGCATACGTTCAAGCCGATCTCTTCCAACTTCACAGAGAGACATGAGACTACGTCACACCTTTGGCGCTGCCATTTTGCTTGCGTCAGACACGGGGGAGATGAGCGATGTTTGACCACGAGCAGCATGTCCCGCAAAGGATTCTTTCTTTGGACGTAGAAATTTACACGTGACATCGCAGCCAGTGAGATAGAGTGACCAGCGCCAGAAGGTGTGCAGGACATGATGTGCAGATGCCTGGCGCAATCCCTAGTTTGCTCAGGGTCTTTTTGCGCGAAGGTAAGCAGACAATAACTGCCTTTGTTCGGCCTGTTTCGGATCTGAAGCATCCAGAGCAAATGGCGCTTGGTTTGCTGCCTTGGAAGGAGGACGAGTTTTGGGTTGCACATATACCGTACCTGCTGCAAGACCATTTTCCTTCTGGTGGGTTGCATGTGAGTGGATGAGAGGGTAATATGTTGGGATCTGTTTTAATCGCACGATCATGGTTGAAGAGTTTCGAATCATGTGATTTGTTGCTTGGCACCACGTGATCCCCTCAGCACAAACTAGTTGTTTTAAACAACCATCGCAAAGCGGATGCAACCAATATTCGGACACCCTCCTGTTCATGAACATGGGACTTGCTCGTATGCGTTTTTATTCTGCCAACGTTTTGAAGATGCACTTGCCCTGGTTGTATGGAGGGCAACGGCTCTGACTGTCCGAGTTGCATGCTTATAGTTGCTTGTTTGCGTGCTGAGCTTGGTACGACAGGGTTTCGCCCCCTACAGGTCAATTAATGGCGCTTCCAACGGATAGAATTCTAAACTGATTGATTTTCTTTGGCTTTCTTCAAACACCTGGAGACAGGGGCTCCCACTTTTTGGATGCACTCTGAGGTCCTTTCCAATTCAGCGGTCGCGGGGAGAAGTGCTGGCTCTATTCCCAGCAGCCACCCTCCTGAGAGCCATAATGACTTGTCAAGTATATATATATATATATATACGCTCAGGACGGATGGTTCGAACAGCACCTTCTGTTTTCAGACCTCCAGCCAGTGGCAGCTATCTACATGGAAAGCTTTGCGCAACCAAGGCAATGCGGGCAACAGAAAAGACTGCAAGACTGGGCGCGCAGCCAGAAAGCCTGGGTGTCTTATCAATCGCAACAAGATCAGAAACGACAAAGATGCGGCCTCCTGCACTGTTATGAGCCTACCCTGTCAGCCAAAACTTTCCACAGTCAAACAGTATCTTCTTGGGATTTTTTTTTTTTTTTAAAAATATAGTTTGTGAAGCGCGAGGGACAGAGTGCAACTACACGTCTGCGAGTACGTCTGAGCACGTTTGAACGTCTGCTGCGACACAACAATGAGCCCCTTGAATGGGTTCGCCTAGCGTCTACAGTGAACGTAATTGCCCCCAGCCCCCCGCCACCCCCCCCTTCCAACATAGTTGGGTGTCTGGCAACAGGGGAACCTCCAATGGCTTTCCTTCTTACCCTTTTAAAGCCATCTGAACACGGGTAGACCGCAGACCCTCCTGAGAGCCATAATGTCTTGTCAAGTATATATATATACTATACGCTCAGGACGGATGGTTCGAACAGCACCTTCTGTTTTCAGACCTCCAGCCAGTGGCAGCTATCTACATGGAAAGCTTTGCGCAACCAAGGCAATGCGGGCAACAGAAAAGACTGCAAGACTGGGCGCGCAGCCAGAAAGCCTGGGCGTCTTATCAATCGCAACAAGATCAGAAACGACAAAGATGCGGCCTCCTGCACTGTTATGAGCCTACCCTGTCAGCCAAAACTTTCCACAGTCAAACAGTATCTTCTTGGGAATTGTTTTTTTATATAGTTTGTCAAGCGCGAGGGACAGAGTGCAACTACACGTCTGCGAGTACGTCTGAGCACGTTTGAACGTCTGCTGCGACACAACAATGAGCCCCTTGAATGGGTTCGCCTAGCGTCTACAGTGAACGTAATTGCCCCCAGCCCCCCGCCACCCCCCCCTTCCAACATAGTTGGGTGTCTGGCAACAGGGGAA